GTCCAATAACGAGTGGTAGGGAAAAAAATGTTTGGACGATTCAAAAGTGTTGTACTATACATCCAATTTGAATAAAGATATATTGATTTCTGATTTTCTGATTTCTGAAATAATTTTAGATTCGTTTTAACAAAGACACAAACTTCAAATGTATATAAACAAGGTACAGTCAAAATATTTAATTCTTTAAAAACAGGATAACAAGAGTCTGTAGGGCGAAGTCGACTTATTGCTCTCACACTTCTTTTTTGTCCTTTGAAAACTCTGTCTTTACTACAAGAATTTCCCCAAAAAAATATGCCATATCTCAGTAATGACGCAACGTAACCATGATAAGCTGTCATGAGTGCAGAACGGTCAGCTATTTTATAAAGCTTAAACAAGGCATAAGAAAATTTACTTAGCTTTTCACATGCATAATTACAATGAGTTTCCCAATGATTATTATCAATGTAAATTCCAAGAAATTGTGTAGTATTTACTTCTTCTACTTTTTTCCACAAGTGCTCTATTTTTACTTCAATAATTTTCTTGTTTTCTCTTTATTTAAACGTCATCAATTTTGTTTTGTCCAAATTAACAATTAACTTATTATTTTGCATCCATTTAATAATTTTGTCAAAGTCATTATTTATTGAAAGTTCATAATCATTTTCATTTTTACATTCAAATATTATAGTACTAACATCTGCAAACATGATCATGGGACTTAGTATGCATTTAGGAACATCATTTATATATACATTAAAAAATAAAGGTCCAAATACGCTACCCTGTGGGATACCACAAACTGTTTTCCTTGATGAAGATGTATATGACTTTTCAAATTTGGTTTTATAGCAAAGTCTGTCGATTTTAGTTATAACCTGTGTATCACTATTTTTATATTTACGAATTTTATAAGCTCAAGAATATTTCCCCGCACACCATATTTATACAATTTATCAAATAGTATATTAAAATCTACCAAATCAAATGCCTTTGTTATGTCCATGTACAAGCCCATAACCTGCTTACCCGAGTCCATACAAGAAATAATTGTATATACAAATTCAGATATTGCCATAGTGATACTTTTATTTTTACGAAATCCTTGCTGTTCTTGAGCTAGCAAGTTATTATTCTCAAAGTTTGAGTATAGTTTTTCATATATTACTTTTTCAAACACCTTGGACAAAATAGATACCAATGCAGAGAGAAGAGTGGTTTAATTATTGTTACTTTTAAGTTATCTGGGAAAATACCGTTCTCAATGCATAAATTTACAATATGTGCAATAATCGGTGATATAATATCGTTCATGCATTTTAAAATGTTTGTAATAATGTCGTCATTACCTAGTACTATTCGTAGTTCGAAGTGATTTTATAATATTAAATATATCATGAGGAATTACCGGTCATTAATAATGAATTGCTGCTATTATATGTCAAAGTATTGACCAAGCTAATATTATTTGATGTCAGTTTGTGATAGATAAAAAAGTCATTAAAATTATCAGCAATAACATTAGGATCAGTAATTACATTGTCATCTACTATTATTTGTCTCTTTAGGTAAGTTTCTTTTTGCTTTATTAATAATTTGCTATGTTGCTTTTGATTTGTTTCTACAATTATTAATAAAATAAGTTTTTTGCGATTTTTGAGTTAGTTTGACAATTTTATTAAACCGCTTAGTGTAATCTTTTAATCTCGTTTTATTCAGACTATTAGAATGTTTCCTGTTATTATGCAATAGGTCACGTTTTCGCTTACTACACACTTTGATTCCTTTTGTTACCCATTTAGGTTTTGTGCTTGTAGATTATTTTATTACTCTTAGCGGGAAACAGAGATGGTAGTACAATTTAAAAGTTTCATAAAAATTATTGAAAGCTTTATTAGGATTGACGGCTTCAAAAACATTGTTAAAACTAAGATTTGATATACAGTCTCGAATTTTTTTTATATTTTCATTATCGTAATTACGCCGTTTAATGTACCAGAAGGGAAATCTACAGGTTTTTGCAACAGGACATTTAAAAATTTGTGCATTATGATCTGATAAAGTCAGTTCAAAGTTTTCGCCTCTTCTGTTACGCTTAATATTATGTATAAAGTTGTCTAAGCACTTCCTACTAGAAGGGCGCGTCGGTTTACTTATACTAATATTTAAACCATAACTATAAATTACATTGGTAAAACTTGTAGTCAATTTATCCTTAGTCAAAACATCGATATTAAAATCACCACATATAATAATCTTGTGTTTGTCCTTAAAGCAATACTTATTCAAAATTTCATTAAATTTATTAAGAAAAATACTTATCCTATTCGCATCAGTTCGAGGAGGTCTATATAAACAAATGATTATAATTTTTTGATCTATTAGTTCCACACCACAGCATTCAATTATTCCGCTAACCCCGTTGGCCTTTGCTACATCTTTCAGTTCTTTGTACCTGAGATTATGTTTAATTAATATGCATGAACCACCATACCTCGTAATTTTGCAGTTTTTTCCCGATAGATGTATAGCGAGTAAATTGATTATCTATATCGCTGCATTCAATATTTCCTATCTGTCGTGTAGGTGTTGTGTAAATATTTCTACATTATATTCTTACCATTAGTTAATGGGGACATCCTTGACAATCCCATTTTTATGTTTAAAAGCTTTTTATTCTGTGGTGTTAGGAACTGTTTCTGTTACGTTTTCGTTACGTTTCTAAACATTTTTATGAAGAAATTTAAATAAAAAAAATTAACAATTAAAAACGAAATCTTGATAAAAAACAAATAAATGAAAGAAAATAGATTTCTCCTGTCTGGGTTTCGAACTCGGGCCTTAGGTGGTAAGGCCCGTATTATAGAAAGATTCTCAGTAATGAATCTAGTCTTGAGCATAGATAGAAAGGGATATCGCTATATATAATAGCACATAGCGGCATCCCTTTTTAACTGTACTCAAGTAAATATCAACACTTAGTTGTCATTCTGTAATACGGGCCTTAGGCCCGTTAGTACAGTTAGAAAGGGATATCGCTCTGTATAGCACATAGCGCCATCCCTTTCTAACTGTGCTCAAGTAAAGATCGACACTTAGTTGTCATTCTGCAATACGGGCCTAAGTCAACTGAGTTCCACCTGAGCTATCCGTCTGTCTGAACTCCTTGGTAAAAATTAGAATCAGTTCCGTCAACTCGCTTGTAATTGTTCGTTAGAACGGTGTTAAGATGAGACATGCACAATTCAAACGCAAGTCACTTTCCAATTATTGCACTTTTATCATTTTAGGATTAAATTGTTTCTTTTTCTCATTGTTCACGGGTCATTGTCACATTTTAATAAAGGTTCTGTGTTTATTCGACGATAATTATATATTTACAGAATATTATTTGTCAGAATCATACATAATTTTATATTTTTGGATTTCGACTTTATTGCTTATTTTTTAACATGAACTATCATTATCACTTATTTCTCACGACGCTATTTATACTTTTATCGCCTTCTATTTATATTCTATGAGCTTGTTGATTTTTAATAAGTAATAAAAAAACTACGGAGCTGATATGATTGTGGCGACAGTAGCGCCCTCTTCCGTAGTAGTCAGAACACAATCAACATACCTTCCTTTTTTCGTATAAAAACGTCAAAATTCTTATTTTTTGCATACAAGCCGTAGGGATCGCCAGAGGTGTAACGCATTTCTGCTGCCGAGAGTGGCAGGGTGAGGTCTATAAAACGAAAGACCTCGTCAGGTTTGTATGTTGATTCTGTTTGGGGTGCTCACTTTAAACTGGTGCCCGCTTTTTTTTAAATTATTAATCCCCGTTTTGTTACAGTTCTTTATATTCTATTTTGTTTTCCATTCTTTTGTTTTCTTTTTTTGTGCTTCTTTGTTTTTGATTTGGACTCCCTTCCCTTAGGTAGAAGAATGTGTCATGTTTGTACAAATTAAATGATTGTTATTTTTAACTAAAGTCACATTCAACTATATATGAATGAAAACAACAACGCGGCCGGCACCGTATACGCGCTCTTTGTCACGTAGTCACACATCACGCAGTTGCTACACAAGTATTTTATACTAACAGAAAATATTCATAGTCTAGGCTTGTTCTGGAAAAATATTTGAAAATACATATTTTGAGTTAAATTATTGAAATGTATTTTAATTTTGATTTAATTATTTGTTAACTGGGCGCGCGCGGTCTCACTTACTATAGTGATAGTAACAAAAACTACCACCAGATCCTAATTTAGAGGAATATATCTTAAAAGTTGCACAGCTCAGAATGCAACCCATCTCACAGTCTGTAACTTTGAATCCTAAACTGCTGAAAAATTAAAAGCGCTGAAATAGAGGATGGAAGATAAAGATTCAATTAGTTGTGGTGCTGGTACTGCAAAAAGTAATTATTGATACCTTGGAGCAGGACACGACACAGTTATTGTTGATTTAATGACGCCCTCTACTTACTTCGTTTACTTTTGGGGTTCCGTACCTCGAAAGAAAAAACGGAACCCTTAGAGGATCACTTTGTTGTCCGTCCGTCCGTATGTCAAGACCTTTTTCTCAGTAGACCCTTGGAGCTGGGAAAAAATCAAAATTCTAAGCCAACGCGTATCTTTTATACGAGTACGGCTGTTTAAGCCGCAAATTTTCCAATCTCGCAAGGGAATCAAAACCTACAGAGTACTTCCCATGAACTCATCTTGAAATTTAGTAAGCAGCGACATCTTATAGCACAGATAAAGAAAAATTGCGAAAACCGTAAATATACAAAGAAGTTTGTACGGAACTCTCAGTGCGCGAGTCCGACTTGCACTTTGCCGGTTTTTTTTTCGATTATATTTTAATTTAAAGTATAAGTACTAGATGTTTATGTTGCTATTCGAACCCGCATTTCCCGCCCGGATAGTGGAATTCCGTCTGATACCTGGATTGGTCCAGGTATCAAGTGAATTTTTTTCAAGTAAATTTTTCTACAAGTTTTTTTTTTTACATTTCAGCTGCCATACAACTTGTTGATTACTCGAAAGGAAGAGTTCACCACTATCAATATCATAACACCTGGCCGATACAAGTCCTGGACGACTTTGCTGAATTACGATGGAAGCCACACAGTCTGGAGAAGAGGGCCAGACATCACATCGTGGAACATGACTGGGAAAATACCGCACAAAAAATACACGATTTCCTCAAACATCGAGCCAATGACAATGAAAAAGCCACTCAATTACAGTTTCAAAGTTGCAGCGACTTTCTCTTGGAATTCATTTGATAGTGAGTATGTTTTTTTTAAGTGAAGTTAAATTTTAGATGGTTAGGTTACCTATGCCATATACTTTTAAAAATATTTATTAAAAAGATCTACGACACAGAGATCTTAAAAGCCAGCTATTATTTAGATTAGAAAATAGCATGGCGCTTACGTTATTTTTATCTCAAAAAGGTGTGATTACATTAGGTATTAATAAAAAACAATAATAACAGTTTAAGGTCAGCAACAAAAACCTAAGAAAAATTAAAGTTAATAAATAACACCATTTTCGAAATTTTAAGTTATAAAGTTATTTCAGGAACTTTCAATCATATTTACTTGTTATAAAGTCCAATACATAATAAATTCTTCAGTTTTAGTTAATTTGTGGCAGAGTAGTAAGTTATAAAGAAACAAGTTTATAAGTAAGTAAAAAACGGTTAAATAGTTAGTAAAAAGTTAAAACTTTGTCTAAGCGTATTATGCTGAAGTATAGTAAATATAACAATGACATAATTTCTGAAATTTATAAAAAAATCACAATTAAATTAATTATGTAATTTCAAAAAAAAGAATACATGTAATTTATAAGCTTATTGTATAAAATCAATAAGCCTATAAAATCATAAAGCCTAATCCCAAATTGTTACCTTTTTTTTATTAATGTTACATATTCATTTTGTTAGAAATTGGCATTATTACGATAATTCTTATTTGCTGTGCCCGACAAGGTCCATAATCTGATCTGTAACTATTTTGAACACCTGTTGTGGGTTGTTCAGGTATTTAGTAAAAACTAGTTATAACTAGGGAAAACACGTTCTATCTAAAAACTGGTTTTTACTATAACATATGTGTGTGTACAATAAATACATGTATGTATGTAAACATATTTCATTTACTAGCTATAAGAGAAAGAGAGAAAGAATATGTGCGCGCACCCTGCTTTCTCTTGCTTATATCCCCTACTCAAATCCCGTTCGCCTCGCCCGAACACTAACGCGTAACACATTTGCCAGCTTACCCCCCAAGTCAAGCGGGCGTAAAGAAGTTTCACTTAAAAAAAATAACTGGCTTTTTCCAAACAAACTTTGACGTGGCGATACTATTACTTTCTCGCTCTTTGTTCGTGCTTGGCATACGATCATAAGATGGGTGACTAAAATATTTATGATCTCGAACTCGTACATGCTTCGATAGGAAATTAAAACCATTGGTCCCAACTCGTTCTGCAGTCGTTGGCACCAACCAATTAGCTTAACGAGCTATCCTACTTCCTATCCTAACCTATTAATTTGTAAATGTAAAAGTTTGTATGTTTGTTATACTCAATCAAGCAAAAACTTCTCAACGGATTTGGATGAAATTTGATACACATATAGTTGAGACAGAAATTGAGACATGGATAGGATACTTTATGTCCCGGAAAAATATTAGATTCCTGTGGGATTCTTAACAAACTTAAGTTAACTCGGAGAAAGTCCCTGGTGACCTACAAAAGCTCGTCTCTTTATACTATTGAAAGAAAATATCTATGACCCAGAAATTATAGTGAGTATGTTTTTTTTAAGTGAAGTTACATTTTAGCGGACTTGGTTACCATATTTTATAGCATATAATCATTGATTATTATTATGCCATTTTAAAATCACAGTAGTAGAGAATAGATAATATTATTTTTATACCATTATATCGGCTGCGGTCTATTATATGTTAATAAGCAAATGCTTATCATTAATAATTAAGATGAATGTGTTTCGAGAAATGCTAAGTGCTAACTTTTAAATTCCATGTTATCTAAAATAAATAAATAAAACGATTTTTACGGGTTATATGCACTGAATTTATTTATCTGACGTTTCGCAGCCTTTGCAGGACTGCGTCTTCAGAAATAATGTTTTTTTTTATTTATTTACCTTGTCGAGCTACCTTCGAAAGACTTTTATTGAGCGTTCGTATATTTCATTGGAAGAAGGACTTTATTGTCTACGCTTGAATTTATTAGCTAATTTAATTAATTAAGTGTTTTTTTATATAATTTAGAATTTTTTTATTTGACCCTAACTACCGTAAACTACCGCCGGTTCCAATATTGGGAGACTTTTCTAAGAAGAACCGGCGAAACAAACTCAGAGAGGCTTTCTATGGTAATTATGCAAACAAAAAGAACTAACAGTATCTATTGGTCTTGCAGTGTGTGCTCGGCATTGGGGTTTTATCTGTTGTATAATGGGTTCCCAAGCTGGTGGTACACACCAATCATCCTATTGAAATTTGGATATTTCTTAATCTCAATAGCTTCGCGTATCATTATAGGAATGAATCGTTGTTCAGTTGCGAGGATCTGTGGTTTATCAAATCTAATGTAATGGTTCGGTCCCCCTAAGTTCACACACTGCAGACTTATTTCCGCGCCTATGTTTCATATCTGCGATATTGTCTTTAACCCGAGTCCCTATACTAAAAATCTAAAATAGCATTAAAAATAAAATTACGAAAATAGGAGTAGTTTTTAATAAAATACTTCACCATTTTATTTCATATAACGAATAAAATGTGAACGACGAACATACAGTACTAACCAATCGTTTTCTCCACAGATGAAGATATGTGCTTCCATCTCGTGAACTACTGTGACGGTCGCCTCACTGAAAAGTCAATATCGGTGAGCTTCTTATGAATTTTAATACGGATATCCTATCCAAACATATCCAATCGTTTATCATACGGTGACATCGGTATCGGTATAATCGTTTTATGCCACTTTATAGATGGTATAATTTAATTTTGTAACTACTTTTATACATTTTACACACTTTAGTGAGTTCAATCTAATAAAATTATGTAAAATTTGTTTACTTTGTACTATTCACATATAAAGGCTACATAAAAAGACTAGATACATTGTTGCCGAAAAAAAAGCGACGATACGTTAAACTACTTATATGTTTTATATGAAAAGTCGTTTGGTTTCTGTAGCCTAGTATGAATCGCCGCTACGTGCTTTTCGACCTACCTCTGGACACAAGGTGTACACTCAACATAACCGGAAAATACGGAGTCACAACTTACATATATCAGACGCCCAGCTGTAATAATATAAGTGAATGTATAGGTAAGTGGCTATGGAATAAAATAATATCATCTTTGACGAAAACAAACAAAAGTCACAAAACAAACATTATTGATTTCGTATCGAACACTTACATTTTTAAGAGATACCGCTAATTTCAAATTGATCAGTACATCTATACTTATCAATTTGAACATTTTACTTAACAATGGAAACATTTCTTCTTCTTCCGAGTTGTCCATCATACAAAAACGATTTACGATTTCTAGATAGAAACACATAGTCATATTGCTGTAGTGACTGTGCTTGGCTGAACTTGGAGTTTAGAGAGGAGAATAGAGTCTCATTTCTTCCGGTTGCGTACATCTGAGATACGAAAGTCGAAAGTACTCAGAGTTGCAATGAATGAAAGATTGATGAGTCAACATAGATCGTTTTTGTGTGATGGACAACTCAGAAGAAGAAGAAATGTTTCCATTTTAAAAATTTATGAGAAAGAAGTAATATCAACATTCAAAAATAAAACACCATGATGTAGCATTGGCATTATAAGCCTTGTGCCAATATTATTATATTTTTAAGTACTTAACTATAAGATGTTAAAATCTAAAAAAAATACTTACTACTATATTATATCCCGTCTAAAAACTGAGGCCCAAGCATTAGTTTTTGACAGCTCCGTAACGTATCGCATCGTCAAAGTTTCTATGCAAATAAGCAGCGCCCGCGTATCAGACGTAAAAACAAACTAGCTTTTTCCGTACAAAATTTAACGATTACTATACTTTACGGAGCTGTCAAGAACTCGCTAGGACCTCCGGATAGTGGATTTTGTCTATTAATATTTTCTTTTGATGACGAAATTTTTTTGGCAGATCTTGAGAATATGCGGAAGGCAGATCTTGAAACGGTGCGAAAGGCAGATCTTGAGAAGGCGCAGGAGGCAGATCTTGAGAATGTGCAAAAGGCAGATCTTGAGAAGGCGCAGAAGGCAGATCTTGAGAATGTGAGGAAGGCAGATCTAGAGATGCAGAAAGCAGATCTTGAGAAGGTGCAGAAGGCAGATCTTGAGGATGTGCGGAAGGCAGATCTTGAGAATGTGCGGAAGTCAGATCTTGAGAATGTGCGGAAGGCAGATCTTGAGAAGGTGCGGAAGGCAGATCTTGAGAAGGAGCGTGAGGAAGATCTTGAGAAAGTGCGGAATCTCACAATAGTAGCCAGTGAAGGCGCCACCGGGTGGGACGTGAAGGTGGAGTGGGTGCCGCCCGTCCGCCCAGCGTTGTGGTACAACGTCACACTGTTCGCGCGACACCACTTGAAAAGTCAACAGGTGCCTGGGGTGAGTGGCTTTACCTAAAATATATATACTCACACTTAACTTATATTGCTTCCACGTTCATAACTGAATCATGGACCAATAATATAAAGACTAGCAGAGTTCATACATAAAATACGTACTTACCCCGGAATTTTGGTTTTACACCTAACTGGCATTCTCAAATCTGTGGCTATTATCTCTTTTTTATAGGTACCTAGCGTGTAAGTAGCATGCTTGTCACATAAGAGTTTTTTCTTTCTGTTCACTCAGTTGGTGGCGCTATTTCTGATATTTCACACTTTTGTGAATGACTGAATGCATAAGAAATCATTAAGTTTAGTTCACTTCATTACTATATCTTCTTAATAAATAAATATTTATCTCTGTGCTTGAAACAGAATGCGACGTCCGTGATTATCCCGGAAGTAGAAGACAGTGGATTCTATGACGTTGCTGTGGGAGCTGTTAAAGCTAATAGAACGGCATACACAAGCGCTCAAGCTATTTTTCCAGGTACTCACTGCTTACATCGAAACTAATAACCGTCCAAATTTAGTAGGTTTTTTTATCAAATTAAAGAGAATCATATATTGTTCTATAGAACTGGAGACTGCGAGTGCTCTAGGAACTGTGCTAGGTGGGTCTTGGTCAGTACTTCTGGGCCTGGCAGCTGTTCTGGCAACGTTGCTCTTGCTGTGGAGACGCCGCGCTGCTAAACTTAAGAATGACTACTTCTCGGTAAGTAAACTACCTTTGGCAATGTATTACTGTCGGTAAATGGGGTTTCCCGAGTTCTGCATAAAATAATAGAATAGAAAAATAAATAAGGTCGTTCGTGCTTATGTGAAGGAACTCGAAAGCGCGGTGGTTAGAGCGTTCAATCTGCGATCGTGAAAGTTAAACAAGTTTCGGAATATCCGTTAAAGAATAGGTGACCAAATTATTCTTAACTAGCGGTCCGCCCTCGCTTCGCTTCGGTGTAGAGCTGAAGTGTAGACTACAGTTTTTGTTCTCAGGCTTGTATTATACACAACGACATTCATCTATGATTCTTCTTATACCTCTGCATGCAGTCTCAGCCCGATCGGTTTAAAATTGACAAAGTTTCATACAAACTTTCATTCCCTATTTTATACCTATCCCTACCCCCTAATCCTTTCTTAGCGAATGCCTACGTCATAACATCTACCTGCATGTCAAATTTCAGCCCGATCCGTCCAGTGGTTTGGGCTGTGCGTTGATAGATCACTATGTCAGTCAGTCACCTTTGACTTTTATATACATATATAGATAAAAACGGTCATTTTTATTACCTGTATTTATAATCAAACTAAAATTCTCATATTTCCGTTTTCCAGTACTCATTTTCTACACGTTTTACATGATTTATTTGCTAATTTTGTTTACAAATGTTTGGTTTTTATTCTAAGATAAGCACGGTTTCTTAATATCAATTATTGTCTGTCAATAAGGTCGAACGCTCTGAACGCATCAACAGCCAAATATTGAATGAAGCTCGCTTTCTTTTTTTTTGTTTCCTCCCAGGCGGGCGAGCGGGTGTGAAATCCTCATGGATACCCTACAGCCGGCTGTAGGGTTATGTCAGACTCTTACTGACTAAAACACACCCGTGGGGGATGCCTATGGCCTTAGGGGCCATACAGGCTTTATCTAATGCGATCAACCCCTGAGAAGGGGATGATGCAGCGCTGCCTTAGTAAATACTACTGCATAGTGCGCTTAGAGGACGGATGCACTCTGATGTGCATCCGTATCGGTTTAGGACAGAGCGACTGAAGGTCTCTCAGGATCGGGGGGGTGGGGAAGCTCGCTTTCGGACCTCCCGCCTTTTTATACCTGTTGTGGTTTCTTCAGTAATGATGGGTCTTCTTTATATTTGAATAAAACAATGTCTTGAATTGATACGCACTTTATTAGCCAGCCATGTTGGTGTAAGAGAGAGAGGGTGAGAGTGAGACAAAACATATTCAACGCCAACAACGTTCCGATTCACCTACGTGACAATACCCTACCGCCGCCGCGACCCGTATCGAGCGCGGCAACCGTTACACAAAAATAATCCTTATAGCATGATTCAGTATTCACGTGCGACGGCGCGATGGCTTATTTCATGTATAAGTTTGGTGTTTCTATACCAATTTCTATGATTCTCTTTTTATTGAATAGGTAATAATGTTAACTTTTTTAAATTAGGGATGAGTGAGAGTATTATAAACGTAAGAGTAAACAAATATAATCAGAATGCTCCGAACTGCTAAGCTATCAGGAGTTACACGTGTTATTGTGAGTCAACCATAAAAGATAGACATATGCTGTTGTGCGATATTTTTTAGACAATTTTATGTAAAATATTTCCGTCATACATGATTTCTATGTAACTTTAACCATTAAGGCTGCACACGCGACGGAAGCTTAAAAAATGGAGTAACTTCTCCCGTTTTCCCAACATTTCCCTTCACTACTCTGCTCCTATTGATTGTAGCGTGATGAAAAGTATACTATAACCTGCCCAGGAGTATGAAGAATAATTGTACCAAGTTTCGTTAAAATCCGTCGAGTAGTTTTTGTTTCTATAAGGAACATACACACAGACAGACAGACAGACAAAAATTTTACTGATTGCATTATTGGCATCAGTATCGATCACTAATCACCCCCTGATAGTTATTTTAAAAATATATTTCATGTACAGAATTGACCTCTCTACAGATTTATTATAAGTATAGATTATTATCTCGAAGCCCTCCTTTTAAAAGCACTCGAAACCGATGATCCCAGCTGCGTCCGTAGTCGTGAATACTTATCACCTGTTACTGGACACTCGCATGGTGGTCATGGTCTGTTCTTTCGTTTGTGAGGAATTCCTGTATTTAGAAACAACTTTTTTGTTCTCCCAGGAGCCGGATGACAAGCTGCCTAAAGAATGGACGGGCGCAGAGTCCGAAAGCGGTGGTACTAGCGGGACCACCGAGGACTCGTGGGAAGTTCGGGAGGGGAGGTTGTTACTGCACGAGGTGGTGGGAGAAGGCGCGTTCGGTGTTGTCCGCCGCGCCACGCTCGCGCCTCACGAGACGCAAGTGGCGGTCAAGATGCTCAAAGGTAATACACCCTGGCAAACTTCTTAAGGTTAATCATGGACAACCGTGCTTGGGCAGTAGCAATTTACACACGAAATGTCTACAGTTCAAGATTGTTGATGTGTAACATCTTTCCTCTCGCTTTCCTGCAATTTGTGGGAGTGATTTCGTGAAATGGGATAGAAGTGTGTAACAGGAAGTTTAAGAAGCGCGCACTTTTTGATTTGATTTTAGAACATAATGTTCAAATGGCTTATTTCTTTTGTAGTAGGTTTTATTTATTTTTTACTAATATAAGGTGAGGTTTAAAATTTTACACATCATACGCGGCTACAGTAAGGCTCACTCGTTTTTTTTTTAATGGTTCTACTCTATAGTTCTATGGTTCTTATAGGTTTATAGTTTAAGGAAGCGAAATATATGTTATTGTTTAGAATGGGTATATTATTGTATTCCCATCAAACATAATTTTGGAATCACCACAGCAAAAATGGTTCTACTCTATAGTTCTATGGTTCTTATAGGTTTATAGTTTAAGGAAGCGAAATATATGTTATTGTTTAGAATGGGTATATTATTGTATTCCCATCAAACATAATTTTGGAATCACCACAGCAAAACCGAAATTCACTTAAGACTTAAATATGTCTTATGTGAATTTCGGTTTTGCTGGTATACTTGTGAATTTTGTGACTTTTGACATGAACCAATCCTTTTGCAGACTTCCCCACAGTGGAGGAGATCCGCTCATTTCGTTCGGAGATGGAGTTGATGAAGAGCGTGGGTGCGCATCCGCATATCGTGAGCCTGGTGGGGTGCTGCAGCGGCCGCCGGCCCCTCATCGTGGTGGAGTACTGCGCGCGCGGCGACCTGCTCACATACCTCAGGTGTGTGGCTCATACTGTATCGTTCCGCTGCAGATGGAGCGAATGAAGAGCGTGGGTGCGCACCCGCATATCGTGAGCGTGGTGGGGTGCTGCAGCGGCCGCCGGCTCCTCATCGTGGTGGAGTACTGAGCGCGCGGCGACCTGTTAACATACCTCAGATGTGTGGCCCATACTGTATCGTTCCGCTGCAGATTAAGCGTATGAAGAGCGTGGGTGCGCACCCGCATATCGTGAGCCTGGGGGGATGCTGCAGCGGCCGCCGGCCCCTCATCGTGGTGGAGTACTGCGCGCGCGGCGACCTGCTCACATACCTCAGGTGTGTGGCCCTTACTGTATCGTTCCGCTGCAGATGGAGCGTATGAAGAGCGAGAGTGCGCACCCGAATATCGTGATCCTGGTGGGGTGCTGCAGCGGCCGCCGGCCCCTCATCTTGGTGGAGTACTACGCGCGCGGCGACCTGCTCATATACCTCATGCGTGTGGCCCATATTGTATCGTTCCGCTGCAGATTGAGCGTATGAAGAGCGTGGGCGCGCTTATATACCTCGGGTCTATCGATACTACAAAGGAGATTGCTCAGCTTCCATACATGTTTGGCCTAAAGACCAATAATCATGAAAAATTGTTTCCTAGATTCGAAATTATATATAAGTTACTGTAGAAACGAATAGTATTGACGGACACTCCTGAGAACTTCTATAAACCATATACACTGAACGATTTTGAGGTTATGTTTGTAAATAGGTATTAAAATAATAAAAAACGAATAAGTTATATAGTAAACTAGGGAAATAAAGCCAATTACCGAAATTATGTTTTAGATTCAGGTATATAGAGCATGTAGATTAACAGATAGTTGCCCTTTTTTAAAGTTAATGCACAAGAGTAACTTTTCAAATCAGGTATCATTTATGCATTTCCGGTTATAAGGTACTCTGTGACAGAAACTATGTGATGATTGTGAATGAGCCACAGATTAGAGAGAATTTTTAAACTCTCGTTAACCAAAGAAAGCTAATACGGTTTAGATTATGCAGCCATATCTTTAGTAGCTTAATTTTTTGTTGTTGTTTATATTATAACCATATTTTAATTTTTTAGTGTATCGTTCGCGAAAAATGTATGGCCATAGACTTTATGATGTCGCCTACCATCTATAATAATTGTCTTAGCACATTTGCATGTAGTGAAAATGATAATATAGTTGTGGATATTAATACCACAGAGTAATAAAAAAAAATGTTTTATTTTATCGATCTTTACAAAATAGATTTGATTTTATGTTATATAAACAATTTCGATCAGTCTTTGGCTGAATGTTACTACACCCATAGCCATTAAAAATGATTCGTATGTTTTCCAAACCGGTAAAATTAAAAGTCCTTTTTAAAATGAATATATTATACAAAGGTGTCCGTTGAAATCTAATGACTGTAAAATAAAGTATAAATTATGCCAAGAATTACCGTCTATGTCAATATTTTTTGTGCATTTGGGCCAATTTGAGCAGTCTCCTTTGCAATTGAAAAAAAATGGTATGAGAGCTCCTCAACTATAGGTAGACCGTCTAACTGAGTCCTCGCCTGCGGGCGCTTGTAATTTTGACAAGAATGTACCTGCCAACCGCATCTCTCACGGTCCCCGTTCTCGTCCTCCCCCATATCCTTTACCCCGCAGGCGAGGACTCAGTTAAGCGGTCTATCTATGATTACGAAGAGAGCAAATCAATGTAGGTTTTCCGAAAAATTTAGTAGAAATGTTTTCAGTAAACTGACCGATTTATTTACCATTTCCGGATTCCAGATTATTGTATCTAGTCTCGAAATTTTCGAATTAGTTAATCGTTATTACAGTTATTTAGGTTTTTTTTAACTAGAAGTCGACATGCCTGGAAGGTCTCGGTAACATAGCTGTTAGGTTAATGCATTCGCCCTGATAGCTGGTGTTGCTGGTTCGAATACAGCCTGACACTGGGTCACGTGGAATCTTTTCTAGTAATATATTGTTTAGTCACTTTAGCTAAGACAGCAGTTCTTGACTAACAGCTGAAACAAATAAAATAACAAATTTTCAATCCATTCAGATGTTCCTGGGACGTGATAGTGTCTAAGCGTAACGCCAAATACTACAATAACAACATAGAGAGTTCCGGCTACCGGAACGATTTGTTCAAATGCAAACCCGAGGCAGAACACTCCAAGCTGGTAGTCAACAAGATGTACGACCTTCAAGGGATATGTGACAAGGAGCTTACAACCAGGGACCTCCTATCATTCTGCCGACAAATCGCCATGGGAATGGAGTTCTTAGCTTCCAATAGGCTAGTACACAGAGATCTGGCGGCGAGAAATGTCCTAGTATCTGCCGATAGAACGTTGAAGATAGCAGACTTTGGGTTATCTAGAGACGTGTATCAAGAGAACCAGTACAAACAGAAAGGCAATGGCAAGATGCCCATGAAATGGATGGCGTTGGAGTCCCTAACTCATAAGATATATACTACGCAAAGTGATGTGTATGTTAATTTTTTTTTCTCATTACTTTTAAGTAAGGAAGCTAATGAAAAAAGTTATGGTCTGCCAAAACAGGACAACAAAATAGATCCAAACAATGCCAAATGTGGTCGTCTTTAAAAACTAATGTATTGTTGTCAGGTGCTGTTATACCTTTATCTCAAGGAATATTATCTGTAAATTTAAGATAATTTTTTCTACTTATCCTACCTATGCTCATAAAGTTATCTGTGAGTGAAACAAAATATAAAATGGAGGTATTTTATCGCTTAAACTCAATTTCTTGAATCCGTCATGCAATTCTGACATCCACCTACCGCAATATTGTTATGTAGCTACAGGAATTTACTGCAATTTTGTGGATGCGGAGCGGAAATTTGCTCTTAGCTTCTTTTTGTATAATACTTTGGTGGCAAATAAGCATTCTGTCCGCCTGGTAGTAAGCGGATACCGTAGCTCGAGTATATGTGGTAAATTTCTGCGTTGTGTTATGATATATTTTGTTTTTGAGAAAGACACACCATTATCAGACCCATTATCCTTACTATATTTACTAGGAGTAGTCCGTGCCTGCTCCCCGTCCATGATACGTGTGATATGTGTATCTCTTTTCAACAATTCATATACTCAGAACAAGAATTAAAGCTGAATTCCTTCAAGGAGTTTAATTTCAACTCATAAAGTCGACTCATTATATTTAATTATCTTATTTTTACATATAGACCAAGAAAGGAGCAAACATATCGCACATTGATAAGAAGAGTAACACTAACCAAAAATACTATTTTTTCAGTAGAAGCATTTAAAGTTTTACCAAACAGTAATTACAACTTTTGCACCAGAAAGAATAAAAAATCAGTATGTCATGTTATGATATTTCTATTGCAGAGAGCTTTAAACACGATTGAAAAAGTCGTAATTACTGTTTGGTAAAACTTTAAATGCTTCTACTGAAAAAATTGCTTTTTTGGTTAGTGTCACTCTTCTTATCAATGTGCGATATGTTGTTATGAACCATACTATAAACAGCATGCGTACTGCTATAAAAACATAATATTGAATACCTTGGTTACCTTTACCTTTACATTATCGGATTAAAAAGCGATCTAATGTCGAATGCGACCTGACAACTCGCCACTACAGGTAAACCGCTTAATTGAGTCCTCGCCTGCGGAGTAAAGGGTGTGGGGGAGGACGAAAACGGGGACCGTGAGAGGTGCGGGCGGCAAGCACATTCTTGTCAAAATTAGAAGTGCCCGCTGCCCGCACCTCACGGTCTCCGTTTTGTCCTCCCCCATACCCTTTACCCCGCAGGCGAGGACTCAGTTAAGCGGTTTACCTATAATACCTTTTGGTTGGGTAATAGTTTGTTTCTATTGTCTATAGGAGTGTAGGCTAGTACATCTTATCATTACTTCTTATTCAGAGTTAATATATTGCCATATTGATTTGTTATGTCAGATGGTCGTTCGGCGTGGTGATGTGGGAGATAGGCAGCGTGGGCGCGAGTCCGTACGCGGGCGTGGCAGGCGCGCGCCTTCCGCGGTTGCTGCGCGCCGGGTACCGCATGCCGCGCCCCGCGAACTGCCCACAGCATTTGTAAGTACCTTCATACAACTACCAGCCTTATAGTAATGGGCGCGCGTCAGTACGCGGGCGTGGTGGGCGCGCGCCTTCCGCGGTTACTGCGCGCCGGGTTGGCGTTTGAAACATTGTCAAAATTGGGATCGAATTCGCTTTATTTGATGCGACATGTTTTCTATCGATACAGATATGAGCTGATGCTATGGTGTTGGAAAGCACACCCCCACTCCCGGCCCACATTCATCGAGCTACACGCGCGGTTAGACGAGCTGTTAAACTACGCGTGCGCCGACGACTACCTGAGCCTCGAAGACGACACGCCAGATCATGTGCCCGCCGTGCCTGCCCGCCCCGCCCACAACTACGTGCGCCTACTGATCAAGTAACTATCATACATACACCGCGCTCACAGTCACATGCGCGGCTGGCGAGCGTCTCAACCGCGCTCGGTCCGCCCACAACTACGTCCGCCTACTGATCAAGTAACTGCCATACATACACCGCGCTCAGTCACATGCGCGGCTGGCGAGCGTCTCAACCGCGCTCGCTCCGCCCACAACTACGTCCGCCTACTGATCAAGTAACTGCCATACATACACCGCGCTCACAGTCACATGCGCGGCTGAAGAGCGTCTCAACCGCGCTCGGTCCGCCCACAACTACGTCCGCCTACTGATCAAGTAACTATCATACATACACCGCGCTGACAGTCACATGCGCGGCTGGCGAGCGTCTCAACCGCGCTCGGTCCGCCCACAACTACGTCCGCCTACTGATCAAGTAACTGCCATACATACACCGCGCTCAGTCACATGCGCGGCTGGCGAGCGTCTCAACCGCGCTCGCTCCGCCCACAACTACGTCCGCCTACTGATCAAGTAACTGCCATACATACACCGCGCTCACAGTCACATGCGCGGCTGACGAGCGTCTCAACCGCGCTCGCTCCGCCCACAACTACGTCGGCCTACTGATCAAGTAACTGTCATACATACACCGCGCTCAGTCACATGCGCGGCTGACGAGCGTCTCAACCGCGCTCGCTCCGCCCACAACTACGTCCGCCTACTGATCAAGTAACTGCCTTACATACACCGCGCTCACAGTCACATGCGCGGCTGACGAGCGTCTCAACCGCGCTCGCTCCGCCCACAACTACGTCGGCCTACTGATCAAGTAACTGTCATACATACACCGCGCTCACAGTCACATGCGCGGCTGACGAGCGTCTCAACCGCGATCTCTCCGCACACAACTACATCCGCCTACTGATCAAGTAACTGCCATACATACACCGCGCTCACAGTCACATGCGCGGCTGTCGAGCGTCTCAACCGCGCTCGCTCCGCCCACAACTACATCCGCCTAGTGATCAAGTAACTGCCATACATACACCGCGCTCACAGTCACATGCGCGGCTGGCGAGCGTCTCAACCGCGCTCGGTCCGCCCACAACTACGTCCGCCTACTGATCAAGTAACTGCCATACATACACCGCGCTCAGTCACATGCGCGGCTGGCGAGCGTCTCAACCGCGCTCGCTCCGCCCACAACTACGTCCGCCTACTGATCAAGTAACTGCCATACATACACCGCGCTCACAGTCACATGCGCGGCTGACGAGCGTCTCAACCGCGCTCGCTCCGCCCACAACTACGTCCGCCTACTGATCAAGTAATTGCCATACATACACCGCGCTCACAGTCACATGCGCGGCTGACGAGCGTCTCAACCGCACTCTCTCCGCCCACAATTACGTCCGCCTACTGATCAAGTAACTGTCATACATACACCGCGCTCACAGACACATGAGCGGCTGACGAGCGTGTCAACCGCGCTCTCTCCGCCCACAACTGCGTGCGCCTACTGATCAAGTAACTGCCATACATACACCGCGCTCGCAGTGACATGCGCGGCTGACGAGAGTCTCAACCGCGCTCTCTCCGCCCACAACTACGTCCGCCTACTGATCAAGTAACTGCCATACATACACCGCGCTCACAGTCACATGCGCGGCTGACGAGCGTCTCAACCGCGCTCGGTCCGGCCACAACTACGTGCGCCTACTGATCAAGTAACTGCCATACATACACCGCGCACACAGTCACATGCGCGGCTGACGAGCGTCTCAACGCTGACGCGAGTTTAACATTTTTTACCCATACAAACAAAAAGTGTACAACGCCGCTAAAGAAGTTTTCACTTCAAAAATATTACCAATAACTGAGTATTTATTCAAAGCTAAGCCACACCCAGCACTAGGAACCATATTTTCTTTTCCAAGAGTACTACTTACTATACAAACACTTAAAACAATTTAATTTTCACAGAAGCAAGTTGGGCTGGCCACGAGGTGAGACCTACGAGAGACCGCTTCGCACTGTTCAGAGCAACCACTATACCTCTCCGCACACATCGCTCGTCCAGCCTGTATCTTGACACCTATAGTTTTTAAAATAAGGACGTGAATCGATAATGCGTTTATACGAGTTTCAAGTTGGATGTTTTGATAAATCCCAGAATATCACATATTTCAAGCACGCCCTACACTTCAAGACACACCGTACTCTTTAAGTTACGCTCCTGTCTGTGGCTATTATTATCACATAAAATGTATCATAATAGCAAGATGGTGTAATATTTTATAGCAGCGAATATTTTAGAAAGTTCATATTGCAGTCATATATCAGTATAGCACCCTATTAAATATACAGCTCAAAAATACTAAATGTGACAATGATTGGGTGTAAATGTTCTCTAGGCTCTGTTGGCTAACTGATCTTACAATAACATCCAGAACTACCTCCGTTATGTCTTTCTTTCCCATTGAGTTCCGCATGGGAAACCCTTTCTGATTGGTGGAGCGTCAAAGGCGATGACGATGAATACATCTTCTATACAGATCTTTGGTATTCAGATCACCAACAATCCAATATATAGTAAAAGTTGCGCCCTAAGTGTAGTCCGGAACCAAGTTATACTAATAACTAATATTTATTAAAAGATTGAATATTAATCAAAACAAGTATGATTTATGGCCTAGTATCCAACCTGACTTGACAAAACCTAATATACTTGTAACATGAAAAAAATGTAAGAATTTCTTATGAGTTATTTCATACATAATGTATACGATTATTTTTAGTTTTTCTTTTACATTAAGTTTTTAAACGTATACGCACTAATTGATCTCCTAAAACATGATTATGAGTGTCATGTTTACATTTTTGTCATAGTTATATGTGTTTCATATAGTATGATGTGCCTATAACATGACTATGTCTCAATGAGATAATGTGATAGTTCTCTATATAGTATATAAGATTACTTTAAATAATTATGTTCGTAATATGTCCTAATGTAATTGGAATTTAAGTAGTTTCTACTTTATATGTTACCTTACATCAAACAAACAGGGTAGAAATGTTAATTAGATAAGTTTATAAACATAAACAAAGAAATTCCAAATAAAAATAATTGTAATGAGATTTCGAAATAAAAAATGTTTCAAATAAATCATAATTATATTATTTTTATACATTCCACAATGATATAACTTATCCTAAATACAAAAATATCCATATTGATCATTTTTCTCAGCATCAAAGTGGTGCCCATATCAGACTTGCTTACCTTTGATTCTACGGGTTCCGAATTATTATACAATATAAAATAGCATAACGAAATGTCCAGGAACTATATGAAATAAAAATTAGAATTCGGAACACGCTAAACCAACTCCTTCCATGTTCCATTACTCTTATGACACACGGGACGTACAAATGTGAGCAAAACATAAGAATGATTCATAACTTTCTCTAAAACTAGCTGCTTAACCGATTATGATATGGGTATAACGAATAAAAAACTGTATTTTTAATGTATCACACTTAAATTCTTATATTACATTTAATAATAAGCCATAATTTTGATTAATTTTGTTATTGTTTTTAATTCATGATTGCTTTTCTCGTTAACAATAATTTGCAAAACAACTAGATTTGTTTTTAGACGTATGAAATAAAAACTATGTGTCTTAATCTCAAGCGAGATGCAAGATCCGCCAAGTTATAGCGACAATAAACTGTGTTTATTGCATTTACATTTCTCAAATATATATCGCGTATTCGTTACGACAAGCAACATCATGGTATACCAACAAGAATCTACAAAAAATATAACTAAACACAAGTGCATTACAAATTATAACTATATACTATATTAATACAATTTAACGGAATACAAATCAATAATGAATTTCGCTTACATGCATAATTCAAAGGAGTGTAAATTTAATAGGAATGGCAAGATCACCTAGTATAACAAACTTCTAAAAACGTTGGAAAATTAAGTTACTCTCTTGTATTTAGTATTAATTTAAATGTTTTACATATATAATTGTTTAACATAATATATATACCGAAAAATAAAGAACAATACAATACAATAAAACAACAGAGGCATACCATTTAAATCAAACAATGTAATTGAATGGCGTTCAAAATCTACGATAAACGATTTTGGGACTCAGCATTAGTCACATAATATAATTGAATTGAGTTAGGTATACATCAGTACGAAATATCTGTCTGGATTCGAATAAGAACATTACTAAAAAGTTTGAATCAAAACTTTTGTGAATATTTTATAGAGCATCTTGAACAGGAAAGAGAAGTTAACAAAATCCTAACTTTGATATATTTTATTTATTGCAGTAGCATTTTCAATATTAACAATTAGTCACTGGGGAAACTGACAGATGTTTTTTTTTAAATAAGAATTACTGGCGAAACGGACGCATCGAGTATTCTGTCTCATACTTTGAATCTCTGTAGGTATATACTATTGTTACAAAAGTGTGAACTCTACCCCGATATCATTATAAATCTTAACTCTAAAACATAGAAGATTACACGTGTGTAATAATATGTGCCTATTGAGGCGAGATCAGCTCGATCGACAGTGACAAAGCTCGGCACAGCCAAAAATAATGTTGCAGTTCTGCGCGTGCGCTTTTAAACAGTTACATAATTATATCAACAGACACCTTACTTTATTGCAACCGATTGGCTATACACAGCTAAACACATCTATTCATAATACACAATCGACTTTGGCTGATAATACTAACAATTCTCTTATCTACTGGTAATATTGTGTATTAACTCGTATTCAAATACCAATACTCATAGTACATTTATATCTATCTTTTTTATACATAAGTACATGCTGTGAGTTTTAGCAATTAGAAATGATAACAAAATTATAACTATGTTCATATACATACATGCATATAATTAAAAACCCCTCTCTCACACTGATAATAATCTGTAATAATAATAGTTCGTAAGAACTATTTCATTGGGTTTCATTTCACGCTTGTGTAAACTCCGTGTTAGATACGGCCAATTTATTATCAATACAATGTCTATCAGCCGTTTCGTATTTTTTTTTTTACATTTATTACCTTGCATATTTTATTTATATTTTTATTATTCTTAGGAAGAAAACAGAAAATTAAGTTACTCTGTCAAATTTGTTTAATTTAAAAATGGTTATAAATAGTTTCGATGTTTGTTTTTTTTTTTGTTTTGATACTTGATGTGCCATTTGAATATGAAATAGGAAATTTGATAAAATCATAGTCATCAGAATTTAGCATGATTATAATGACAGACATACTCTAAGCACACGCATTTTTCATTGCGTGAATTAAGGTCGGGCAGTATTTTCAGATAAATACACGAATTCAGTAATTCTCGCTTTTCATTTAATTACAATAAATGTCTAACTAATATATGTCTATCTACTCATTTCTAATAATAATAACGGGTAAAATATCGCCAAAGGTCTTCCACATCTGTCATTCTAATCATTCTACATTTATTCAAAAAAAATCTATTGGTTTTGAACTGGTACTAATTAAGGGACAGTTTAAAACGAATCATAACAGGCGGTATTATACAGATTTATTTGAAATGAAAAAGTAATCATGTCATCAGTGTAACCAAGGCTTTATAAGGCCGAGTGCAGATGACTTGACAAGTATGCCCAACGACAATATTTCTGCCGGGAAATTGTCGATGCAATAACAACATTTAAGACGCCAATAGCCTCTCCTTAATAGAACTCATGTTTGCAGATACTACAATAATCCGATACTACAGCAGTCAGAATCCGCGGTGTGATTTACATACCAGCGAATTTGGCGGTTGAAAGTGAGTTTGTTCTTACAGAACTCCGATAGTAGAGTAAGTTAGATCACCTTAAAATGAACGTTACATAATACTATTCTCTAAAACAATTTTTATAATGTTACCAGCAGCGAGTTAGTTCCTCACGAATAAAGGCTATTAAATCCAGTTCCATTTTACTTCCTGTCCCCTAGCATGAGCACCCCGATACACATTATATCACGTTTTTATCACGTCTAACTGTCAAAGTCTATAGTAGTTTGACAAGTTAGCGTGATAAAAACGAGCCATATATCATATTACGGTGCTCATGCTAAGGCGTTGGTATTGCAAGCGTCTATATCTATACCATAATGCACGGCCGTAAGCATTATTCCGACCTTCTCAGACAAAGATCGCGAGAGAATTTCCTGTCCGCCGTATATGGCCTGCTATAAATGTGTTCCTCTTATTTTTCAAATGGCAACCCACTCCTTTTGTTTAGGGATGATTTTGCCAGCGTCACGTTATCCGACATACGAAATGTTTTAGTGTTAGTGTCATAGTATAGCGTTGCGCTTACGCGAGCGATGTGGAGGGGATTGTTGCGTAGTTTTCGGTCAGTCTATGGGCGGCGGCTGCGCGGGAATATTCGACGGCGGCGCTGTTAGGTATCCAGCCGTGTGAGGTGCACCTGATTGGTAAACGTAAAGATAAGTAAGCTTTTCACCTCTATCATCATCATCAGCCTATTAATGTCCCCATTGCTGGGGCACAGGCCTTCCTGGAATAGGGAATCCCAGTGCGGATTGGTGGGTGCTAACGACTGCAGATGTAGCCGGGACCAACGGCTTAACGTGCCTTCCGAAGCACGGAGGAACTCGAGATAGAAGATTTTTGGTCACCCACCCAATATAAAGATAAAACAATGCCTTCCATGCTTTTTAAAAATGTACACAAATAGTTCAAGATTAAATAATAAATTCCATGGCAACACTTTTCATTCGTAAAACCATAAAAAAATATCAAAAATCACGGTTGGTCATGAATGTTATTTACTTTTTCGCTATTTGTTATCAAGAAAAGCACAACAATACAGCTCAGCCGTTTGCAGAGAGAGAAAAGGAAGCACAGTCGGCTGCAAAGCGACGCGGACTCGCTGTTTCGCTCGCGCTGTGTTGAAGCGTGCGTTTCTGTCTCGCTCGCTCGATTGAATGTTTATTTTCCTTATATAGCTGAGTCGGAGCGTATCTTCCTTTTTTGTTTAAGAGCCCTTTCACATTTTTTGCAATAAATCGCAATTTCTGAGCGCCTCGTTTGCCCCCTTAGAAGAGATTTTGACTACTTCCAATAGAAGTAAATAGTAGATTTATTCTTCCTATTGAAAATTAATGTAGAATATTTTCAAATACTATTTCCATTTTTTTGTACTGATCGTTCTACCGCAGCTAGTTTACGGAAAAAACGATAATATGCACAACTAAAAACGCCTCAATCTCACAATAATGTTCAATAAATTGGATCAAATTAATTACTACGACACCAGAAATATGTTTTTGTTGCAACATAATGTATTAGAATCTTGATTTTCTATCTCATTAATTATTAAAAAAACATCTAACCTCCGTGAGTTTCCCCAAAAAATAACGCAGGTTTACCTCGTATTTTGATATTGAATTAAATAGAATTACTATCAAAAACTGCCATAAAACTAATCTACAATCGTTGAACTACTGAAATATGTATATAATTTTATAATAATTTCATTAATTATTATTTTATAAGACTCTGAACATCTCCCGTAAAATGCAATATATAGTAGTGCAAATCAAGACGCCGTTCAGTACGGCGCCAGCGCCTTTGGAGGTCGGATCTGTGTCGCTTTGTACCGCACGCGTTCCGAGCGATGCTACGAGTGCATTCATCGTAAAACTGGCTGGATATACTACGACCGCAAAAGTTTAATCGTTGACTGTATGTAAGTATCCACAACCGTATTAAATTTTATTATCATAAGTACCTACCTAGTTATTAATTATCGTTGCTTCAACTAATATTTTTGTTATAAGCTTTTACAATGGGGCGTAAAATTCCTGCTTACCATTGTGTCAAAAAAAAAACGAAAGAATGATGCAGCCATAAAGAAAGCTTGTGAAGCAAGGTGAATATGCTTATAACATTTCGTTTTTTATTTTTGTAGTTTCAATGGGTGTTTTAATTGTATAAAAATGGTGATTTGTCCGGACTTTTCAAGTATCATTGGTATAAAATTGTAATCAGTCAAGGTACTGTACTCTAATGGCCAACTATTTTAACTTACTGACTTAATGGGTATGTCAATCTATCCCTATGTCTATAAAAAAAGCTAGAGTGCGGTAAAATTTTGCATTTCGATCAAGTATAACAAGTATAAGCTCGTGGGCCGCCAAAGTACATATTGGCCCAACATAATAATATATTTAGAATAGAAATCCACAGTTCTATGTATTTTAGATGGAAACAAAATTTTAATGGCAACCCCGAAAATATTGAAACTATACCGACCATAAGTTCAATGGATTCGATTGCAACGGAAACTGTAAGTTTTTCATGTTGTTATTGGAAGTAGACAATGAAAAGAGAAATTGAAATTATAATAATAAATTTAATTATATAGGAAAAAAATGCTGTTGGATTGGAAATCGAATCCGAGGAACAAGGGGAAGCGTCAAACTCTAATTTAAATATTTTATTTGTTTTATACTGACTTAATAGGTATTTCACTACTACACTAGGTACATGGTTTACAATGTTAGCAGTTTGGTTTTTTGTTTTAAACTTAAACTAATGGGATGCATTTCTAGAGCAAAAAAGTTTATTTTTAATAGTTTATATTTAGACTTCTTTGCTCCATAAGTTCAATTGACAGTAACTTGCTGATTTACGTACCATATCTGTATCTGGATTGGAAATGTATTTCCAGTGTTGCCTATATCTGTTTATATGCGTAGATAGTCGATAAAAGCAGTATTGTAGTCAATTAGATAATCTGTTTTCAGGAGGAGTATATGGTTGATGGAGGACGTGTAATGATACCAGGACATTTTGCACTTGGAAACACCAGACTGGATGTTGGACCGTCAAATGTCAACATATCAATATCACCTCAGCTGAAATAAGAACTTATAGAATTGACAATGAGCGAGGAAATTTCAGATGTTGTTATTATAAGTATTTTGTTTATTATCGTCATACTTTTATTAAAATTAAATGTATTGTGGCCCTTTGTCACCGTAATAATCCACAAAGAATAATATATTATTATAGATAACTATAATATAACCTTCATTGTAATTTACGAAAAACAAAACATCAATCATCAGTTTCAAAAAGAGACAAACATTGTACGTGATACGTTATACTACCAGACTGCTTCCGGTTATGATAGCATCAGTGATGATAATCTTTGATAACACTGATGAGTAATTAATTGTATAGAGAATAGCAGATTTTATTGAATGTGCTTTACAGCAGCTAGTGATGGAAGAGGTGTGAACTTTCCCTGCTCCGTTTTCATATTATTTATCGTGAAATTACCATACGAGAACTCGCAGCAAAAATTTCATGAGTTAGGTGTGTAAGAGATGAGTTCCTATGAAAGTTAAATGCTTTTGATGGGTTTTGTTTAAATGAATGGAAATTACACGAATACAAAAAAACATGCTTTTTATTTTTTTATCAAATACTCTTACAGATATATTGAAAATACAGAGTGCGAAAACTTTTTTATTAAATGAACTACGAAGGCAAAGACAGAACTACACTTAGTACAGTTTTACTGACATATTTGATTATTACCAAACATCAATCATCATTAAAAAAGTCAATACTAATACAAGTAAATAAAATATTATTTCTCATTGCCACTCGAAAAAGGGATTTCATTCAGCGATAACAGTGAACAAACTTTTCATTTAATTACTGAGTGAATAAAAAAATTTGAACAAACAGAAGTTATGCAAATCAAACATATAAAGTTACAATAATTAGTAATAATCATAATTAATCTTTATTGTTATTTCCAAAACGCAACCAATGGGTACTATAAATATATTATTTATTTTCTCACAATAGTAAAAAAACTTAATCCTTGTATCCTTTGCTCCACTCAGGATTCCTATCTAGAATCGTTCGTTGCTACAGTAGGGATCCATCTTAGCACTTCAAGTTAACTTTATTTTATATTTGCATTTATTGTATAATCAATAATTGCATATTAAAGTATCAATTTGGTAAAGCGCGCTATACTGAAATTCGCCGCTTCGATGTCTCGCTCGTGCGACTCGGACACGCTCGCGGTCATATTTACCTAAACTAGAGCGGCGCAATTTTGTAAAAGGGCTCTTAAATCTAAGTATACATCAAAAAAAGAAACTTAGCAAAAAGCTATAGCCGGGAAACGATTTTTAGTGTAAAAACATAATTTCAAACAGTACCGCGCAATGTATAGTGCGCAATAGGCCGCGACTCGCGCGGCGTACAGCGCTGAGCTGAATCGTTGAAAGGCAGCGTTTGTGTGTGCGCTTATAGTTGATATACATTAAGTACTGACTTTTGTAAGCCATTTTGTGAGTTACGAAATACTTAAAATTTTGATTATGGACCTTGGACAGAAATTAAGGAATAATCATTAAAAGCCTGAAAAAAATTTTTTTTTTACTTTTGACCTTCTGTAACTTCATAGCTATTAATTTCCCAGGTATAGTCAAGAAGACAAAAATAGTTGTATGTCGAAGGTTTTTTTTCGGCCTGTATACTTAATGGAGATCTGACCTTACCACAAGTAGGCGTCTTAAGAGTCGCCATAAAGTTTGAATCAATCTATACTGACCGGCGAGGGAGGGGGGCGGAGATGAACAAGCCGTGCCGCTGCGTGGCGTATTGTTCCAACACGCGGCTACGACAGCGAGCGGACGCGTGCCTCATGTAAGGGGGAGTATATCGCCTTCAACGTATGTATACTGACCCGTGAGGGAGGGGGGCGGCGCGGGCGCGGAAATAAACAAGTCGTGCCGCTGCGTGGCGTATTGCTCCCAGACGCGGCTGCGACTCAGTAGCGCGCGGACGCGTTCCCCGTGTAAGGGGGACTGCGCCATCGCCTTCAAAGCTCCCACTAACTGCGCCGCCGTCTGCCCGTCGAGACGCCCCTCCAGTAACGACAGCAACTCCGAGATCAGATCTGTCTCCAAAGCCTGTAGGAAAAAGACGCTAGTGAATGTAAGATCACCGAAAAGTACCAACCAAACACATCGAGAATACATCGTATCTAACTGTTAAGTACTAAACAAATAAGCGTTAGAGAAACGAAGCAATGGTTATTACTGCCAATAATTCTTTTAGGACCATAGCTTTCTCTATTTCTAAAGAGATGTAAACTTCATGCAAGTGTCGCTCAGTCGATTTTCTATGTTTAAGATATAAACATAAATTACAGATTGATTGTTAATCAATCTAACACAAAAGTAAGATAGTAAATAATATATACCTGTGACACCAGGCGATCAGTGTTGACGTTTGTATTGAATATCGTGGCGAGCGCTTCGCAAGCGCAGCCGATCACTTCGCGACTCGCCTTAATGGCGCCCTTTAAGCCGGCCATCACGTCCGTCTGACATAATGCCACTACACACGCCTGAAATAAATAATCCATGTTAAGTAACGAGATGACGTAAGTGGGTAGCGCTTTCAGCTGCGATCGCCGAAGTTAAGCAACTTTCGCAATGTTTGGTCATCGGGTGGGTGACCAAAAATTTACTTTCTTGAGCTCTCCGTGCTTCAGAAAGCACGCTAACCCGTTGGTCACAGCTGCATCTGCAGTCGTTAGCACCAATCTGTACTGGGACTGCGTGGTGGGTCATGGCCCAATCTCCCCATTCCATTCATGCCTGTGCCCCAGCTGTAGGGACATTAATTGGCCGATGATGATGATACAGTAACGTTATCCTCATACCTCTTACATTTTACACGATCAAACCTCATTTTTATATATAGACGATGATCTTAATTATGTTTCGGCTACTTAATTTTTTAGGTTTATTCTGGGGGCCTACCGACCCTATCGGGAGTGATACGGCTATATCTATAGCTTATAATTTCATTTTATTATTTCTGTTCTATTTCTATTTCAATTGCCTAGCGCTCCTTTTTTTTCTTTTGTAATGGTTATAACTAACCATATTACTATTAAAGAACGTATTGAATATGAGGTATTTGAAAACCTCCGGCGGTCAGAAATAACAAAATGAAATCATAAGCTATAGCTATAGCCATAGCAATTTTGATAGGCGGTAGGCTCCCTGGAGACGAAACAAAAACAGCTGCACGGCTTTGATCTGAGCAATTTGTCAATCGACCAGGGTAGCTCCGATGTAATATATCGATAATAATTGTTAGTTTTTATTAGACTGCCTTATATTACTAAGAAAAAGAATATAAACTTATTTTATCACATTTTTATTTTAAGCATCAAACTAGTTTAACATTGCTGCAGTTTTGCTAGAATTTATATCTAAAGAACTCAGCCAAGTTATCTGGCTGGATTCAAACCTATAATTTTAATTTCATTTACAACCACAGAAGTACTAATATAGAAACTGATATTTTATTCTTATTCGGATGATAACAAATTACCTGCGTGTGCACCAGCGCAGCCAGTATAGGCACGCAGTGTTCGGGACAAGTCGGCAATAGTCGGGCCAGTCTCGGCAGCTCTCCTAAGGACGCGCAAGCTTCACCCAACGCGGGACGAGCCCGGACCAGCGCCGCCAATGCAGCCGCACAAACTGAACCACGACTGCCCTGTTTTATGAAATAACAACATTTATTTAATAGGTATACCAATACCTAGCTTTAGATAATCAGGCCTGATTAGACACAAGTCTAATCAGGCCTGATTATCTAAAGCTAAAATTAAATTTGTCAGTAGTATATCCCTGTCATTGTCTAAACAGAATTAAAGGAGAGACTGATGTAAAATTTAGTTTTAAGTTCAGAAAGTTGAGTTCAGAATCATGCCAGAATCGACACTGTTGACGACAGACATGCACCAACCCGAGAGAATAACGTGCCGAACAATCACAAGGCCTACTTTACGGGCGTCAAAGGGGTGCAGGGCATTATGTGACGGGGGATGATCGCGTGATAAACCGCGAATCAGAAGGCGTACTTTTTAAGGGATGCGTAAAATTCTTAACCTCGGGTGTGCCACAGATTTGTGAGATTAAATCAAAAAGAAGGGTTCTACTTACTCGATAGTTTCTGATAATAGTGGTGACATTTATATCTATGTAATGGTTCCCACTTCAAATGCTTTGGGTGTTGTGGTATGTGTACCTCAGAACTATCCTTAGCCAACGTAGCTAACGTCTCCGCTAGTAGTTTTTGCAGGAACCGCTTGGGGCTTCTCAGAGCTCAATGAGTGTTAAAGAAAGCGCTCAACTAACTCGATAGTTTCTTATAATTATGGTGACAAATTTATATTACCTACGGTTTCCATTTTGATGTGTTGGAAAATTCAGCTAGTCAAAATTTGTAATATACGTTACCTCACAGCTATCCTTGGCCAATGCAGCTAATGTCTCCGCCAGCAGTTCTTCCAAGATCCGCTGGGATAACGCTGAGCCAATTGTGTAATAAAGTAAGTGTTCCAAGGTATAGTTTGACATAGTGGCAATTATAACTGTCTGTATTACATAAATGAGTTACCTCACAGCTATCCTTAGTAGCCAACGCAGTTAATTTCCCCACGTGTAGTTCTTGCTGGAACTGCTTGGGAGTGAATTTAGCCAATCGTCTAATCAAGAAAGTGCTTCAGTTTCATTTCCATAAAAAGAGTATAGTTTGACATAGTGACAAATATAACTATCTTTCTTTCATAAATGATTTACCTCAGAGCTATCCTTAGCTAATGCAGCTAATGTCTCCGTCAGCAGTTCTTGCAGGAATCGCTTAGGGCTCCGCAGAGCCCAGTGAGGGTGCTGCAGAAACAGCTTCAGGTATACTCCCCCCACCACCACTTCCCCTGGCGGGGCCCATTCTACCCCCGCTCCGGCCGCACTGCGTTCCAGAGTCTCCCGGTCTTCGAATGTAGCGTTCGGATCGCGGAGTTGCGTGGATTGGTGTCTGGTTAAAAAGAAAACATAATCCGCCTTATTACAAAACGTAGACTATAGTTAAACCTGAACTAAAACTGTACTCTTGTTTGTTTGCTAAAAGAAGACATTGACAGCATTAGATGTAAACCAAGACAAACTTTAGTCCGCGTTTTGGATTAAGATGGTAAGTATTCTTAACACACGTCAAAATTAAAGCAAGGGACTTTTATAAAATTTTTCATTCATATTCTAGCCAAAATGTCAAGTTTTAACCAACCGTAATAACCGTAATAGAATTTATAAATATGAATAGACGCCTAAGGGCCTGGCCACATGTCCACGGCGCGGCACCTTAATGTGAAACAGCGCGACACACCAAAATCGCTTTCGGCACTGTATTCATTATATTATATTAATATACTAGCGGCCCGTCCCGGCTTCACACGGGTGTATTAAATACTATGGAAAAATAATGAATCAGAATACGAAAAAACAACTTGAATAAATTAATACAGATTTTGAAAGTAGCCGGACTGATTTCTTATGTAATTCTTTTCCATTGCCTTTTGGAAGCCTCGTAGTCACGCCACGTCATGCAGACAGACTTTTGACTATTTGACGAATCACAACAGACTGACAGACTTTTTGACTATTTGACAGATCACAACTGACTGACATAGTTTTTGATTCTTTGACGGATCACAACTGAGTTTTCAACAAATCCGAGCAAATCTGCTGAAAACAGGTCGAATATCTGAAATCTACTTGGTCAGGTGCATGGCCACCCTGATTTTTCCACTTAGTAAATGTTTCTAAGTAAATCGAGTCGAGTTTATTAAATCTATTAGGCCATGGGCATGGCCATCCTGATTTTTCTGTTTAGCAGAGTTAATTTTAAGCATATAGGTTAAATATCTTTTTATTCCGGAATTCCCAAGGGAACGGGAACTTCAAGAGTAAAACTGCGGGGCGCAGCTAGTTGCTCTAATATGTTATTACATATTAGAGCAAATTTGCTGAATATATGTTTTAATAAAACTTACTATCCTTATTTCTCGTCGTAGAGATCCAATTTCAAAAAATATGAAACACGTTTTTTTAGTTTCAGTTTAGTTTATCTAAGTCAAGTTTCAAAGCTGTCAAGCTAGCCAAACTCGTTTTCCCATACAAACTTTGGATCCCTAGATCACCCAATTCACGGTGGAATATTTAAAAATCCTTTCTTGCTTGGTGCCTACGTCATTTAAACAACCTTTTTACTAAATATCATGTCTCTACAACCAACAGTGTAGCGTGCGTTGACGCACTATTTAACTTCAACATGATATATCTTTGTTTTATGAGGATAGTTTTGACACACAGATAACTCTTTCAAAAAAAAAGGAAAGTTGAAGGTAAAAATTAAAATACAACGGCACCTATCTCTCAGTTGGGCAAGATGCATGGCCACCCTAAGCCTAGTTTCATCGCTCCACACCAACTCTGGGTGTTCGTGCTGGGCATCGAACATGTGTACCGCGCTAGCGGCTGCGCCTTCACGCATGGCTTCGGCGAATACGCCAGGCATGTACCGCGATATCGTCAGACGGACCTGTGGGTAAAGTTGCGTTGGTTAATCTTCAATAGTATTTCTACATGGTCCATTGACGCATAAAAACAGACAAACTCCCAGTCGCCTAAAAAAAGTGCTTCAAATAACGTCCGTACGGCACTGTGTCATACATATATATCAACTTATACAGATTAACACATTTGTTGAATTGAACACGATCTGTAGTAGTAGAAAGGTTCAATATCAAATGTATACGAGAGAGAAAGAGATAGTTTGATTACGATGTGAAAAAGCGATATAAATATATACGATCACGTGACGCACAGGGAAAGCTATTTTGTTGTAAACGAAAAACGCCAAGACAGTTGCGTGATTTTGTTGACATAAAGGGACACTTGCCTGAAATGACACTCATGTTTATTAAGTGCGGATCTGGTGTCATTTGCATAGTATATAACCGAATACCTTAAATTTAAACAAAAAGGGAAGATAAGGTACGCTCAATGCTCATACTAGCATCAAATAAAATATGGCCCGGTTCAACTACATAAGCAACTCTCACACACGCAGACTTCTGTAAATAAACATTCAATCGAGCGAACGAGACAGAACTTTACGCGTCAACGCAGCGCAGCGCGAGCGAGCGCTTCGTTTGGCAGCAGACTGCGTTTTCTTTTCTCTCTCTACAAACGGCTGAGCTTTATTATTGTTCTTTTTTTGATAAGAAATGGCGTATAACTAAATAACATTCAGCCATGATTTTTGAGTAAAAAATGTTTCTATAGTTTTACAAATGAAAAATCTTGCCGTGGAATCTGTTATTTGATCTTGAACTATTTGTGTTCTTTTTAAAAGCATCGAAGGCATTGTTTTATCTTTATAACTCAGAATATACGCAATATTGTTACATTGAGTGCACATGCAGCGTAATTTGATGTCAGATTGTGACTAAAGCGAATTATGGTCGTGCACCACAATTTAAGCGGTACAGTTTTCTGCCGCGAGTGCCGTATCTTCCCTTTTTGTTTTAATTTAAGCCGAAAACTCTGTCACTGTGTGGCGACATAGCGCAAGGCGCGGACGAAACACGGCCATTAAAAATTACGCACAATAGATGCGTGTGCGTAATTCCGACACTTTTTGAGCGCGATTGCGAGTATACTTGTTGTTTACGTCAATGACATGGTCACAAACATTACAGTCATTTATGTAATAGGCTGGAATCCTACCATTAACTCCCGTGATCATGGCACTTACAATAACGCAGAAATATCGGGGACTCGCAAAAAGCAAGGTCTGTAGTAGCAATCCCACTAATAACATAAATTACTCTAAACCATCAGTAGTGTTCATAGACAAAGAGAGAATGGACTGAGTGCTCGTTACCCAGATTTCAGATAAATTCGAACGCGAACTACTGATTGCTCGGTCGCTTCGTCCCTTTCACAATTTTCTACACACGATATCGCTTTTCCCTTTCTAGAGAATAAACATCTTCATGCAGGTATTGCTCAGTCCATTCTGTGTCTATGGTTGTATTATATTAATACTCGCGGCCGCCGGCGACTTCGTCAGCGTTAAACTAAGTTTTTTGAGAATCCCACAGGAAACAAACTTTTTCCGGAATAAAAATTATCCTATGTTTCAATCCGACCTTGATAAACTACATATATGCTTATCAAATTTCATCCAAATCCGTTCAGTATTTTTTGCGTGAATGAGTTGCAAACAAACTCACTTTTGCATTTATAATATTAGTAAGGATGGTCAATAAATAAAACGAAGTGTCAATCATTTTTTTTCTAAATGTTGAACAATCGATAAATTAAAATTTTCGACTCATTAGATAGTACTTTATTTTTTGGTTCAGAACTTAATTCCGCAATATATGTTTAAGCAAATACCTTTGGTCCATGCAGTTTATCCGCCATCATGCGCGCTAGTAATTCCACCGCAGCTTCTCTTGTTTCTGGGATCTTGCTATTGCAAAACAAATCCAATAAATATATCACACCTCCTGTAAAAGATGGTGAACTTTAATCAAATGAGGACACGGTTCAAGCTTTTAAACTGCCCTTTTTGGTGTTTCCGTTCAAATAAAGGGAATAAATAAGACAGAGTGTACTTCTTTGTTGCACAAATATTTATCTTGTTGCTACGTAATAAAAGCGCTGTCAATATAAAATAACAACCACCAATGATTCTTCGTCTTCCGAAACACAAAGGAATATAATTAAAGTTTTTACTATTAGATGGGCAAATTCTGCAATGCAGCACATTGTGTAGAGTTAACCTCGGATATATCGTGATTGTAATCATAGTCCATCCTACTCTAACTTACGTAGTTTTAATACCACTGAGTAGGAGAAGACGCGAACAATTTCAGTATACATCGATTATTATCGATTTTAAAGGTACAGCACCTAAAAATCAACTAAAACGCCGTGTTGTAGACATGGTATTGTTGATGTTATATTATGTTAGGTAAATTAAATAACATTTAGTAATATATAACATATATCTTTATAAAAGTACCTAGTGATTTTTCTTTTGTCTAAGCATAGTTAAGTATTACAATATGTAGTTTAATAAAAGCAACACATTGTAATTTGTAAGTAGTAATTATTCATGAGAACTCTGCCGACAAACTAGTATAGATATTTCAACGTGTAATCGATGTGTGTACTTAGAAAAAAAATTACAACACAGCCGTTATCATGTAGCAGTAAGAAGAGCATTCACCTTAGAATCGACATAAAAACAACCGTTAGCGAGCGACTCCCTCACGAGTGCCGTGTTAACTAACAGCGCTGCATCCCCAACACCGCTGCGAGCGCCGCCAGCGCTACCTCTGCATCTCCCGCAGATAGCCTGGCTAGAGGCAGCAGCGTTAGAAGGGGCCCCAGTACAATGCTCAAAGCGATGTGTTCCCCACACTTACCCTTAGCGAGCGCCTCCCTCACAAGCGCCGTGTTAGCCAACAGCGCTGCCAGCGCCGCCAGTGCTGCCGCCGCATCCCCCGCAGATAGCCTGGCTAGCGGCAGCAGCGCTAGAAGGTGCCCAAGCACAGCGCTCGCAGCGATGTCTTCCACACACTCGCGACTTCCAGCGGCCGCGCGTACCGCTTGCAGCGCTGCCGATTGCAGCTGAGGCTGCGAGCGGGCTGATAGTAGGCCGAAGATCAGACCGAATTGCCCTATGCACTGGATCTCTACACCTGCAAATAAAAGGTAATTGACATTGTTCTTCCTTTATATTTATTTGAAGCAAATATTAACGAATATTTAAACAGAATAACGGTGCCTCGGCAAGTTATTAAGGTCAATATAAGAACTTTTCAATGGTGTCTTGATAACCATTTTTGTTGATTGTCTTAAAACTTTATAAAAATGACGGTTTACCTGGATTCTTGATAATCACGTTGGCAATGGCAGTAAGAGCCAACGTGAGGTGTTCCACTCTATCTTGCGTCATGTCCATCTTAGTTTGTTCCTCTATGAACTTCAGCAAGTCCAAGATTAACTGTTGAGGATTCTGTGAAATATCAAAATATGTCATTTGCGTATGTTAAATAACAAAACAATTATATGATGCTGGAATCAAACTATAAACCAGAGGTTCCACCAGTCAAAGAAAGTCAAAGGACTTTTACTAGTATCAACAAATGAAAAGCAGTTTTTATTTCTTTTTTAAACACGACGCTGCTCTATCTATACCAAAAGATAATTTTGACTAGAAATAATACAACACGGCCTAAGCTGGAATCAATCTAGCATCCTTCGCTTTCCAGTCGAAGGAACTGTACCCTTAGCATGAACCAATATCGAATTCGAATAGGTTTCGAATGCGAAATGTCAATTTCAAATCTTGTATGGAAACTTGAACAGCAGGACCACAGCGGATGTAACGAGAACTAAAAATCAGTAAACATTTGACGTTATCTATTTTACGTTACGTTACGATCAAATTCAAATATTTGAATTCAATAATGGTTCGTGGTAAGTGTCATGCTCGATTCGATTTACGTCCAGTACCCCCCCCTAGCACAAACGAATATCGAATTCGAATAGTATGCGAGTGTGTCATAGTCAAATGTGCTCTGATTCTTAGTTCCCATTACGTCCGTTGTGGCGCTGCTGTTCAAGTTTCCATACAAAATTTGACAATGACATTTTGCACTCGCAAACTATTCGAATTCGATATTGGTTCGTGTTAAGGGTACAGTTTCTATAATCATACTCTAGTAAAAGGTAAATAAAATCTGTTTCCGTTTTTTAGCAACTGCTGCTATTATGATATAAATAATAATAGGCCAACTCACCTCCACCGGCCAGTCAGGTTGCTCGTTGTAAATATCAATATACACGCCACCCACACTGACGAGTCCCTCGTGAGCGGAGTAAACTAGGGGTTCTACCAACGGACCTTCTTCGTCTTCAGATAAACGCGTATTCTTCAACGTGTCCTGGAGTTCCGCGCGAGTGCTGTTGTCCCATACTAAGTATGGATTGCGCCAGTTCGACGTTAGCGTTTTAAGTAACTGTAAAAACATGTTTTTTTAAGAAGAAGAAGAAATAATGACATGTTGTGATTTTGGATTTCATTTTAAATAAGGTCATAATGAACGAGCAAAAAAAATTCTCTTACAATAATATCTTCCCTAAGTAACGACTAAGGGTAGAGCGAGAAAGACAGAGTGTCTGACTTCGTCATTAGCGATTCTTTTCTTTAATGACACGAGTTGTGTACATATCACATAGCTAAGTACAAGAAAAAAACGGTATAGAGACAAAACCAGTAGCTTGCCTACCGCATCTAAATAAACGATTAGTATCAGGAAAAAAGATTAAATTCCCCTAATCCTAAAACTGACTATCCGTAGTACATGATGTGATCCCCCCGTCCCCCTCTTTTGAACCATGTTTTGCTAACAGAAAGAAAAAAAATGGCTCATATTTGTTCTATGAGTATGGCGATTTCTGCGTGTCGCCAAGAGTGTATGCTTATCACAACTAAAAAAATATTATTAAGAAGAACATTCTCCTAAAGGATATTGACTACGTACGTGATAAAAACCAAACTCCCCTGCGACCAAGCGTGAGATTCTGAACATCTCCCTCCTCCCTCTGAACGGGTCACGTAGTATGGATACGTTCTTTAATGGATATAGACTCACTTCATGTTGGTCCGGCTCCGCTAATCGCCTGCACAGATACGGCGTCAGTAATGTGTGCAGCGCGTCTTGAATTCTCGCATCGTCTGGAGTTTGTTCCTCGTGCGGACCGTACATAGCCGCTAAAGCTATGACGCATTGTTTCGCTAGTTGATTAGCCTCCTCCTACAGGCAGAAAACGAATTTTAACAAATTTAAACATTGAGTTTGAACTGTTAGGCTTAGTTCAAATGGTCGCGCGTTAAAGGAGTTCAGATGACAAACGACAACACACGGCTACCCTCATCCATTTTTGCTGCCCCATACGTATGCACGTTACAAGTCACGCGGATTAACTGAACAAGCCGATACTTGACTAGGGGAACTCAATACGCGCTTTACGTGCGTGGGTGCTAACGACCGCAGATAGACTTGCGTACTTTCCGAAGCACAGAGGAGCTCGAGATATTAAGATTTTGATCACCCATCCAATAAACGGCCCTTGCGAAAGTTGCTTAACATTCACGATCTCAAGCCAAACGCACTAATCACCTGCTCCTCGTATGTCTATATATACATATCTGCTTATTGGCCTGAGGTACTGCTTTCACACCCGATTCTGTGAGAGTATAGCCGTATTGCGGTACAGCAAGCAGTGACGTGTGCAGCGCCCCCGCGCGGGCCAGTAACGAGCAAAAAGTCTCTGAAGCTGCCAATATAGCCATAGCCATGCCATTAATAGGCTGACAGCGATGCTGAAAAGGGTACATTACATACCTCCTTATTGGCCCGTGGTGCTGCTTCCACGCCCGATTCTGTGAGTGTAGCCATATTGCAGGCAGTAACGCGTGCAGCACAGAAGGAACCTTGTTTATTGCTGAAATGGTTGTACTAAATACCTGCTCCTCGTATGTCTATATATACATACCTGCTTATTGGCCTGAGGTGCTGCTTCCACCCCCTATTCCGTGGGAGTGTAGTCGTATTGTCCTAACTGTATTAAAAGGCTAATGGCGATGCTGAAATGGGTACATTACATACCTTCTACGCCCGATTCTGTGAGAGTATTGCAGTACAGCAGGCAGTAACACGCGCAGCACAGAAGGGACCTTGTGTCCTAGCAGTGGGGACATTAATAGGCTGATGGCGATGCTGAAATGGTTGTACTAAATACCTGCATATCGGCCTGAGGTGCTGCTTCCACGCTCGATTCTGTGAGAGTGTAGTCGTAATGCAGTACAGCAGGCAGTAACGCGTGCAGCGCCCCCGCGTGGGCCAGTAACGAACGACAAGTCTCCGACGCTGCTAATGTAGCCACTGCCATGCCATTAATAGGCTGATAGCTCCCCCACGACAACGGCTAACTAGAGTCGAGGTCCGAGTCTCAGAGACGCCCTCTAGTTGAGCCAACCCCCTCAGGTTTGAGTGGTCTAGAGGCTCCAGACAGAGAGGAGAATCCCCCCGCAGGGAGATGCCATCCGCCTGGGGGCCAATCGCCTAACGGAAATGCTTTGGAAAACGCTAACGCTTACGATTTTATTTTGTTATTTCTAGCCGCCTGAGGTATTCAAATGCCTCGCGCTCTTTCTTTTTCTTTTGCATTGGTAATAACAATATTAAAAAATATAAGCGTGAGGTATTCGAAAACCTCAGGCGCCTAGAAATAACAATATAAAATCGTAAGCGTTAGCGTTTCCCAAAGCATTTCCGTTAGGCGATTGGCCCCCTGGAATACTTCTAGAGGCACTCGCCAATTCTCGGCTTGAGGTCCCCTTAGGATCTCGCCGTCTCCAAACCCGGTGACGCTGTAAAGGTCATCTGCGACGTACAGCATACACACTCAAAAAAAAGGCTGATGGCGATGCTGAAATGGGTACATTACATACCTGCTTATTGGCCTGAGGGGCTGCTTCTACTCCCGATTCTGTGAGAGTGTAGTCGTATTGCAGTACAGCAGGCAGTAACGCGTGCAGCGCCCCCGCGCGGGCCAGTAACGAACGGCAAGTCTCCGACGCTGCTAATGCAGCCACTGCTTCGGCGCCCGCGCATGCAGTGTCAGCCAAATGCTAAATACGAACAGAATAATTGATAGAGTCTGTGCGGAAAGAGAATGGGATTTATATTTGAGGGTGCAGTAGTTGCTTTTCTACCGTATTTGTAAGGTTCTACCCTTTTTAGAGATGATTAAATTCAAAAAACCGCAAGAAATCACAACAACAAACAAATACGTATCAATGAAAAACTTTGACGTTTGACAGATGGCTGAGTAGGATTGTAATATAAAAATCTTAATGTTAGTTCCGTTTTTCTCTTTCCGCACAGACTCTACTGGTGTATGAAATGAAAAGTCATTTATTCAGTCTAGGCTGTTACAAGCACTTGTGAAGGTCAAGGAGCTACGCCATTGGTTCACAAAACTACGGCGGGAGACCTTGTACTGAGAAGAACCGGCAAGAAACTCAGCAAGAGCTGTTTTTTTCTCCCTGTATTGTTATATACAGAGTCGTCAAGTTGAAAATGACTTCAGAGATACGCCTGAAGTCACCTTCCATTACATAAGAATAAAACATACATCAGAATTAATCTATGAATAATGACTGGAATGGGTCAGTCTGTCTTTGTACGTCGCTGGTTTAGCTACTACTTTCAATTACTACTAAGTTTTAAAGTGAAATACAGTTCGTTAACAATTATCGAATGTGGCATCATTTCATAAAAACCCAGCTACGGCCACAACTGACACTATGGTATTATTCGTATTTGTTATTTGTGAATTTAAGAAAATCTAATACTTTAATTTTATACACTTTAGAGCATGATATGGATATACAGCTGCCAAGTTTACAAATAACAAATATGAATAGCTGTGTGAAATGCTTGCATAAAAAAACAAGTACATAATAATGGCATTTATCATAAAAATGTTGACTGACAATTTTTTTATTAATGGTTCATATTTGATGTCGAATAATGAACACTGTCCAACGGATATCACCCGAGTCAGCCACTTCGTCGCGCAGTTGTGAGTGAAGCATAATAGCGGCAAGGTAATAGACGCACTTTCATAGTTTCTCAGACACCTTATTAATAAACGAAGACTAAGCTTTAGGATTAGTAACTCCATATTTGTCTCTGTTCATTAACTTACATGGCATTTAGGTGATATGAACAAAACCTGGCGTAACTAGTAAACTTATTCCTCGTTTATTAACTCCTCGTCTGTGTAAGTGGCAGATATCTGCCACGAGTTGAGAAAATTATTTGATTTATTTTTATATATAGCGTTTTATCATATTTAGTAATTTACACGTCTAATATATAGATAAGTTTTTAGAGAAACTATTCTGGATTGATTTAAGAGATAAATGAAGCCTGAATGTACAGTAGAACTCGAATAATAAGAGGAAAACCGGAAAAAACAAAACGGTGGGCTACACAGACAAGGGGTTAATAAGGGGGCAATAGTTTTGTTAGGATTCATACTCACCGGTCTCCTGAGCAGCGGCACGAGATCAGCGCAAAGCTGCGGCATCTCGGCGCACACGCGGCGGCATTCATCAAAGCCGGCGGCGACGGCAAAGCAACGTGCGCAGTGGCCGCACACCGCCGCGCCGATGTCGCCGGGCCGCGTGCTGTCTGACAACACCGCCACGCAGCGGGACATAGCCTCATGCAACACCTGATTGAACAACACCAGGGCCAGTTAATACCTATCACAAACGCTCTCGAACAAAACCGCGAAAATACTGGAGACAGATTTTACCATAGCAACGCGGTTCGCTCATTCTAATATGAGCCTTATAAAGTGCGGCGTAAAAGAAAAAGTGCAACGACCTCTGCACTTGTTTACAACTTATTCGCGTTACCTACGTATAAGTAGGTACTACGCACTCGCGGTTGCTAGTGAACTCTCAATAGGGTATTTGACATTGTTAAAAATAAAGTGCCAATTGTTCGCATCTGTGTTTAGAATGAATATTGGCAGGGGTTTTTACTACTTTTACAAAAAAATATTCATAATTTTACTAAAAACTAACGAAAAAGATAATAGTTTTCTTATCTGTTGTCACGTGACCCAAAACGCTTGGGATTGGCGGAGCCTAAAATGACGTCACACGCAAGTAAACTTCCGGTTAAAGTGACATTACATTATATCGATTGACGTTTTAAGAACCGTCGTGTGACGTCACACACTAGTAAGACGTTATATTGCCCAGAGAAACGTTTTCGCAGCAACTTGAATATGGAGTTTTTTATTTGGTTATTTTTACTGAAATACACAACAGAATGACGAATATCCACTTTTTACGGACTCCATAAACATTAGTCAATAACGTGAGATCGTTTTCTAAAACTTGTCAAATACCCTATTGAACTGCTCAATTTGCTGAAAGTCCTTACCTTACTCCCAAAGTATAAAATATTTATTTGAGTAACGGTACGAGATCAGCTCACAGCTGCGGCATTCATCAAACCCGTACGGCAAAGCAACGCACGCAGACCATAAAATATGTAAAGTTACGTATATATTTCACTCGCCTGTAAGCCTCCCTCGCGCCTCAGTTCTTCGGCATTGAGCGCGGAACAGCTGACAGTGGCGTGCGCCAATTCACACGCGGCCGGAAGTAAGGCGGGCGCGTCTCCTTGGGCGAACAGCTGCTCAGCTTCCGCTTCTAAGCGGGCCGTGCGGAGCAATTGCGGGTAGCCGGCGTATTTGTACGGCGCTAATACTGGGGGTGGAATAAATAATAAACGATTATTCAATCACACCAATAGGTTATTTTCAAATTTTTTGAAAACTGTTTATATTTAAAGATTGGGATAAACGATTTAACAGAAAAATAAAATAAAGTTCGAAAAACAACCGAAACAATGCTATTGGTACATTTTATTAGTCTATTGTGGAATGAGACTTTAAATCCAGTCTGGGAAGACATAATGCTACATATTTTCTCGAAAAAAATTGAAAGGGGTAGAGGTCTCTTATTTATGTAGGGAAAAAATAATTCTACGCAAAATCGCTGACCATCTTATCTAATATATATTCTCATGTCTCGGTGTGCGTAATCGAACTACTCCGTAACGGCTTGACCGATTTTCATGAAATTTTATATGCATATTCAGTAGGTCTGAGAATCGGAAAACATCAATTTTTCATTCCCCTAAATGTTAAGGGTTTAATTTTTTTATGTATAAATTTTTTAGATTTTGTTTTTCATATATCACACAAAAATACATACATCCCTAAATTTTCACCCTTCTACCACCAACCCCTATTTATTATGGCGGTACGAAGTTCGCTGGGACAGCTAGTGCTAATATAAAATGTTTTTCCTCCCTATCCAAAAATGTGTAAAAAGTACATCTTACCATCCGAATACCTCCTGAACAATATAGTCTGTGTGCGCAGTATGAGGACAATGTTGTTGGCGTTTGGCCCGTCGCCCGTCCATACGTTTCTGCTGCAGAGGAATTCATACGCTTGATTCACAGCTTCGAAACGATCCTGTTATAAATTAAATAAGCATTAAATAAGCATCAGTGCGATGCGCACTTCACAACGGTCGTGCGCCACTATACAGTTAGTTTATATTTACTTAAGTTTTAAGTTTAGATAACAAAAGCATACTTGACCGGGTGATATTGCTGTGGCGAGTCGATAAAATACGCCTTTTCTCAATTTGCTGTAGCGATTGGCTGTATGAGTCTACGCTAGCAATGCACTGGCTGTTATGTTAATTAATATAGGTAACTACTCATATACATTAATGACTATTATCATTTTTAAAATATATTTTTGTTTGTATAGATGACGTCAATAAGTGCCTGCAGAGGTTTATGTTGGATAAATAATATCTGATTCTAAGTCCTATACATCTCACTTGTCTGCCCAGAGGCGCACGAACTTTGCTGCTAACGGCTCCATTGTGATACAATTTTTTGTATGTAGTTACTAGCAATCGAAACCGACTTCCGTGCAACTTAACTCAGACGGTAAATTTTCCGACGTCTAGTTAGCTCTAAATTAAAGTAATAAATAACACGAGAACTCACCCGTCCTTCTGGGTTCTTGTCCGGGTGATACTGCTGTGCGAGTCGATAATAAGCCTTCCGCACGGCCGCTTCGTCGTGGTTGGTTCCGGTCAGTCCCAGAGCGGCGTACGCCTCGCTGGCTGTCATCGACGGCGGCTTCTTTTCTACTTCACGTCGCCACGCTTCTAAGACATCCTTTAATAACGCCACCTATGCCGAAATAAATAAATAAAAAACAAATAAATATTCCCCGCATTCCCACCAATTCGCCTAGCCCCAAAATAAGCACTATTAGGCTTGTGTTATGGGATACTAGAGTAACGGGTAGAATACATAATACTGATACAGTATATTAACATCCATGACTAGGGTTTAAATGCATTCATCATATTAATATTTGCCCCAACCGGGATTCGAGCCCGGGACCTTTGAGTAGGCGACACCTTAAAACCTAATCTAAATATCACTCGGCCACGGAGGTCGTCACACTCTTAAGACACTGCTTTGTGAAAAATAAAATAGTAGAGAAATGGACGACCTAATCAGTGGATAGGCGGTAAATTAAATTTAAAAATTCCGTCCACATAGCGGACGGTACGAGTTCGAATCCCACCTGAAAACTGAACCGAGTGGAATTTAACCTAGTAAAATTTTCTTTAGATTTAAACATCAGCAGTTAAATGCTTAAATAAAAATATCATAAAGGACATTGGGCAAAAATGTATGGACGCTGCACCCACGTCCGCCAAGGCTTAAACTACATTTGTTTGAAAGGTATTATAGTCATGATCATCTGTGCCAAAGCGCATCAAATTCCATCCCGGGGGTCTTTAGTTATTTTACGTTAAATAAATACAAGTACTATAACGAACAAAAATTAATAAAACAAGGGCATTAATTTATTTAGTTAGTTCGACCCTACATAGGGGCTCAGGTATTATGGGAGTACTTCACAAGGTGCAAGGGTGCCACCTTATGTTATTCTGCCGCGCTAGAGTAAATCCAAAAAAAATCCGTCAAAATTTGACTTTACGCAAAAAAAATCTCCTGTTTTTTTATAACTAAATTTCTTAACTTTTTCGTCTTAAACTTTTCTTTGTACCTCTTACTGTCTATCAATTATTGTTGTATAATTAAACATGTTGTTTTTTCTTTAAAAAACCTTTATAATGCCATTAATTGTTAAAATAAAACGCATGAAAGTTGTTCGTAATTAAATTTCCTACAACTTTTGTATAAATCTTTTTTTTATTATATTTTTTTAAAGTTATGAGTCGTTAACGTAGCAATGACGCAGTATATCAGAGTTTTGTACACGTGCAATTGATTCTCATCACTAATATTTTATAGTATTTATATTTTTTTTCCTATTTTGCTGCAATTAATCGATAACAATCCAACACAAAACATCATCAGCTTAAATTTGAAAGTAAGTAAATTTTTCGGATACTTCTGTAACTTTAATTCAATGCCCGTTTTTGCGCTACATTAACGACTCAACTTTAAAAGTATTTATTTAATAAAAGAAAACTTTTATACAAAAGTAGGGAATTTAATTACGAATAACTTTTATAAGACGTTTTTTATCAATTAACGACATTTTTAAGACATTAAACAATAATTAAAAAAACAGTAAGAGTTAAAATACAAAGTTTTAGACAAAGACTTTTTTTATTGAATGAACTGCGAAGGCAAAGATAAAACCACAATTAGATTAGTACAGTTTTACTGAGATATTCGCTTATTACCTAACATCATTCATCATTAAGTGAAAAAAAAAGTTGAACAAACAGAAGTTATGCAAATCATACACATAAAGTTACAATTATTAATAATAATCATAATTAAAATTTATTATCCTTCCAAAACACAACCAATGGGTACGATAAATATATTATTTATTTTCTCACAATAATAAATAGTAAAAAAACTTAATCCTTGTATCCTTTGCTCCACTTAGGATTCCTATCTAGAATCCTTCGTTGCTACAGTAGGGATCGATCTTAGCACCTCAAATTAAATTTCTTTTATATTTGGACTTAGTGTGTAATTATTCCACTAATTGCATATTAAAGTATCAATTTGGTAAAGCGCGCTATACTAAACACCGCCACCTGGATGTCTCGCTCGTGCGACTCAGACACGCTCGCGGTCGTATTTAACCTAAACTGCAGCAGCGCAATTTTGTAAAAGGGCTTTTAATAAATAAATAATAAGATCCACTTACCGGATCCGGTATAGGCCAGTCGGGGAAGCGATGAGTATCGCAAAGATGCCGTAGATAGAACACGTTGCAGAATAGCTCCCGTTCTAAGTGCGGGTATCGTACAGCCGGTATAGCTAAGTACGGGTAACGGGCGGCGACATGTGCTCGTAGACGAGGCGTAAACTCGCCTATATGTGCCGCTACCTTCATTATTAGTATGCGTCTGCCGAATGAGAAATATACACTTAATTGTTTGTTATTTTCTTCAGTCACTTCGATAATTTTGATATTAAGACTTTTTAAACGTGAATACGTGACTTTGAAAAAGCGTGATTTAAATTTAATGATTTATCATGATGATGATGATCCATAAAAACCAACTGGCGGGGAATAACAAGAGATAGAGGGAGATTCATAAACTGCACCGACGGATGTTCTAAAATTCAAAAAGAGATCATTAAAAATACATAATTATCCTGAAAAAGTGGGTAGATCATCTGTAGTACACTATTGATTTTTAAAAGTGGATTGTAATAACTGGCACCAATAAAAACACGAATCAAAAATGACTGATTTTGTCCCTCTCTATTTTTTTTTTGCCGAGAAAATGAAGGTTTATCATGGAATCATCAACCGTGGGTACAGTTGTTGTGTATGCACAGACCTTTTTAAAGGCTCTTGCGAATATATGAATATTACACCTGCTTAGACTCCTGGATCATTTATAAAATCTCCTTCGAACATTATATTATTTGCTCGGCTAACAAGTACAAACACACAATTAGCTACCAAAGTTACCAACTGTTTTCTTCATTTTTATGAAGACTCAAATGAATATTAACTTTATACCTTCATATTAAGCTCACAATCGGAAACTACTTCAATACAAACCTCATTTCTGAATTCCAAATCGCCTCAGGCGTATCCCACTCTCCTAAGAAGATCTGCGCGAATTTGTCTGCGCCGTGGTTCTCTAGATAGCAAACCATCGCTTCAGGCAAAAGTTGCCCGAGAACCGATCGCTGCATTATGTCCGAAGTTGTCTGCAAACGAATACTAATCATAATATGATAACATTGCACAACTTACCTTTGTTCATAGGTAAGCTAAAGTACAGTAAGCAAATTATCAAGTTACTACAAAGTGCCAATAATTGGTGAAAATAAATAAATCTTATTTGAAGCAGGATAAAATTCTAGCCTTATAGGTAGGTTTCTACACTTAAGTTAAACCTGGACTAAAACTGATGCTGTCACTTTTTTTTGCTAAAAAGAAGACAGAGACAACATTAAGTTTAAACCAAGATTCCACGTCCGCGTTTTGGTCTAAGGCGCGTAATAGAAAATAATAATAATATTCTTTATAATATAACACCACAAAGGACATAAAAGTGAGATTACACTGACAGAGAGACATTACACAATGGGCGGCCTTATTACTAAAAAACTATCTTTTCCAGGCAACCCATGATGGAAAATTAAATAAGTATGTAGAACAAAAAAAATTACATTCTGAATATTTTGACCTGTGACAGTTTGTTAATTTGTTGAGATAATCAAAATAAAAATCCAATGGAAAATTTATAAAGAAGAAGGAATTGATAAGTACAAAAGCTTCGTGGATTCTTAGTCTTATCTAATAATTACAGTGTGAAATATCATATTTCGGCCGAATTTGTGATGATAGCTAGGACTAAGTAACTAACCCCGATTATCCCAACAAGAATAAATAACACCAGCGCCAATTCCTTCGCTTAGTAGCGGAGGCAAAACAAACAAAAGGTCTTCTTTGAAAGATCATAAACACTAACTTTTCAATCAAATTTCGCCTTTAAATCGTCTCGATTAGGGATAAAACGATACGAGTAAATACAAGCAACTACTCGATACTTTTTTTTCGAAATCAAGTACTTTTGGCATCGATACTTTAGAACTGAGTATCAAGTAGTATCGTGAAGTACTTGTATCGGTACTCGGTCGGTCACTCACTGAGAAGTATCGAAAAACCCATAGGCAGATTGTTTACTCTATGGTAAGGTGTCTAGTTGGAATTTTTGTTTCGGGAACGCATCTTTTATACTGCTCATCCGGCAGCCTTGTGTATGATTTATATTTACTCCGATTTTTCAGTCAGTCATTCGTTCATCGTGTGGCGCGAGCCATTATTTTGTTTTCGTCAAATAAAAACTGAGACTGAAGCTGTAATTGTAATATCGTGCATCAAAATTTATCAATACTTTTCATTCGATACTGAGTAAGCATCGATACTTTAAGACCGATACAGTATCGAGTATAAGTATCGATAACTAGATGGTATCGTTTCATACCTAGTCTCGACTACAGTACATACTCACTTGATCAGCTCTAAACGCTTGCTTCATGTGCGTGAGGCGCAGGAACCTGGCGATGGGCAGTAGATTCGAGCCCGTGTACAGAAGCATGAAGTAGAATACTCCGGTTAGGTACAGCTTTGATATCTCCGGGTTGTCTTGCATTATTTCATATAGAAGAGTTGCCACCTTATAGAAAAAAACTTAATTGAAGATCCAAATCAACCTTTTTCGTAATATTGCAGGTTGATTGGCGAACTTTACATTGCTCAGATGATTTAGAAATATTAAGTTGCGAAACTTGTAGCATGCAAATCTTAACCAAGGCAGGCACGGCATTCTTTCACTTGCAACTTATTTATTTAAGAAGCAAGATATCTTTGGTAAAATACTATTTCAAATCTGCTCAAAATTAAATAAGTTACAATGAAAAGGATGCTAAACGTCAAATCTGTAAAAAAAAATATTAAAAACGCATTTTACACCCGTTTAAAAACTTGTTTCGTTAAATGAGTGTTGTGAAAACTTAAGAAATAAATAAGTTACAATATTTCTAAATGTGGTTATAAAAAAGAAAGAACTTTAAAAAACATGAGGTATGGCACTATAAATGCATGAAGTAATAATCACCATAAGCACAGCGAGTACAAGAGAGATAGCAAAGCCTGAAAACATCACTTATTTCCCTATTTATTGTTTGCCCTAAAAATATTGTTATACTTACTGAGGTGCAAAACTTTAAAAGCAAATTCAAACTTGGCAACATCTTATAATAAAAAACAAGATAAAATCTGAGGCAAACACGAATTTTGACAGCTCTGTAATCGTATCGTCATCATCAAATTTTGTATTGAAGGAGCCAGTTTATTCTCACGTCCGGTAGGGGCGCTGTTTAGTTTTCATAGAAAGTTTGACGATGCGGTACGATTACGGAGTTGCCAAAATACGTGCTTGGGCCTCTGAACTCACTTTCTCGACGAGAATGGGATCAAACGTAAGTAGTAACTGGACAACGTGCGCCAAACAAGCAGGCTCAGAAAGCATTCTCTTCACTTTAGGAAGTGGCCTTATAACAGCATCTTCTTCATCCCTAAACAAAAGCAATGACAATAACGAAACCAAAGAACGGATAATTTAGAAAATGATGAATTATCATAATAAAAATATTTAACAAGATCAAGTTTTAAGTATTACAGCCGAGTAAATCGAATATGTTGTTTTTTTCTATGTCGATGTATCACAGGCTGCTGAAAAATATGAGCATAGTAAGTTGACAACAACAAGTAAGATGACGTAACTTTTTTTTCTTCGTCTATCAAGTAGAATGTAAACATATAATTGAATGTCCAATTGTGACTAAAGCGAATTATGGTCATGCACAACAATTTAAGCGGATCACTTTTGAGCCGCGATGCCGTATCTTCTCTTTTTGTTTTAATCTAAGGCACTTGCTCTACTATACCTGCTCGGGTAATATCTGGCGCAAGTAATCAGCAGGTCGAGTACAGTGGCCGCTAAAGCACTCTCGTCTAAGACCGCGGTGCCTCGCGCCACCAAGCTCCACTTGAGCTGCGGCACCGAGCCCACGGCCCGCCAACCCTCCATGCTGTTCGCCCAGCACTTGGTCTTGTTGTTGATCTCCCCGGACTTGTACAAGTCTTTAAGCTGCGTATAGAAGGATTAAATGAGACTTGGCGGCAGCGTTGCCAGATTTTATTTTTGCCCAGTCGGGATTTAGGAACTTTTTGAGTGAAAAAAGCGCGATTCTTTCGTCGAAAGCGGGACATTCTAAAAAAAACGTATATAATCAAAAGTTTTTGAATATTTATCTTTTTATTTGAGTTCAAATTACTTTTACGTGATAATAGATAGGTACCTAGTAAAAATATCCATAGAAAATGTATTTTAATAAAAATATGATATAAATACAGATTTACCCTATCGTTAAATAGTTGAGTCTTTGTTTGAGAGTTCTTCATTACGCGCCGGGCAGGTGGCCAGTCTACACTTGCCTGTGCCACCCGCCCGCGCTTTCTCAGTATGCAGCACGCACGGTCGAGTAATTTCCAAAAAGCGGGATTGAGCCTGTCTCGCGCGGGTCATTTAATTTTGATTTAAAAATCGGGACGTCTGGCAACGCTGCTTGGCGGCGACATCTACACGCCACACATATAACTATAACTTGACCTTTTACGCGGGGCGGCGGATGTGCACGGGTACACACTGCATTACCGACGCAGCGGATATATCATGACATTGAAATCTTCGTGTTGTTATGTCAAAAGTGTGAGTCTTTTTATTAGTAGGTATTACGAATGAATCGGTGTAATAATTCGTTATGCATAAAAAAAGACTGACTTTGTAATATGTACCTAATCTTGTCATAAATATAAAATAATATAGTTATTTAATTCGTCAAATTTAATAGCATAATCTGTGCTTGACTTTTAAACTTTTTATAACATAGACTCGGTAATGCCATGTTTGCTGTATGCGTAAATTACTCTCATGTGTAGCGTATATAAGACGAAATATTTTTAAGGCAAATTGTAGTCTGCCAGGAACAATCATCGTGTGAACAACTAGCCAGAAGAATAAAGGAAGTATTAAAGCAGTCAGTAACAGTCCACACCAGGGATCCGAGGACTGAAGACTTTCATCACTTTCATCACCGACATCTTGGTCCTTCGAGCCGGATCCGTTTTCGAAAACCAACTCCATCCATTGGGAAGGCGTGTACCCCAGCAGTGGGGGCATTAATAGGCTGACGATGATGACCTATTGATGATGAGGAGCTCGATGGCACCGGTGGTTAGCGCGTTCGGCTGCAATCGTTGAAGTTAAGCAACTTTCGCAGTGGTCGGTCATTGGATGGGTGACCAAACATTTACTATCTCGAGCTCCTCCGTGCTTCGGAAGGCACGTTAAGCCGTTGGTCACGGCTGCATCTGCAGTCGTTAGCACCCGCCAATCCGCACTAGGCCCGCGTGGTCTGTCATGGCCCAATCTCCCTATTCCATCCATAGGGAAGGCCTTTGCCCCAGCAGTGGGGGCATTAATAGGCTGACGATGGTGACCTATTACCTAAACTAATCACTCACTTGTTGGAAGCTAACTGGCCCCATTCTCTGCACCTTGTCCCCTTGTTCCAAGTTGTAATACCACTCCCGGTCGCCGCCGCCCTGTTGCGAAGGGCCTTCTATCACATTGCTTTGGGCGGGAACTGTCGCCCTTGATGTGTGCAAGTGGGCCAAAGTCATCAGTTCCACTAGGATCCTACGAATATCCAGCAATATTCATTACTAGCGGACGCCCGCGACTTCGTACGCGTGGAATTAGTTATTTGCACATATTTTTTGACCCCAAAAGGGTTCACGGCTTGTTCCCCGTAGGTGATAATATATAGCATATATGTTGACCCGACTTCTTAATAATATTCATGCCAAATTTGAAGTGAATCCATGCAGTACTTTTTGAGTTTATCCCGGACATACATACAGACAAATAGACAAAAATTCAAAAAACTATATTTTTGGCTTCGGAATCCAATGTAGATCACACCCCAAGTATTCTTTTAAAAAAATATTCAATGTACAGTATTGACTTTCCTACCATTTTATTATATTATGTATAGATAATGAGTCACAACAACATATCAAAATATTTCTATAAAAGTTACTGCATGTAATGTGCGTACTCGTGCAATAGTTAAAATAATAGTTTTTGTTTCATCAAAATCCGGCCAGGAATTCCAAAGTTACAGCATTGTGAAATTTCACCGCGTTTTTAACAACAACAAGTTTGTACAACTTTGATGCAGTAAGCTTTTAAAAAACCAGTCAAAAATTACCTGATTCCATTCCATTCCAATATCTCGCTGACGTTTCTCCTATGCAGAATAAGTTTAGACAGAAATTGAACTAATCTATCTCTCTCCATTCTATCACAAGTCTGAAAGAGAATAAAGTCGTTATTAAAAAAGCTGAAAAGATATAACTTTAAAATTTTAAATATGTATATTCATCATTATGTATATCTTTCTCTTCCGCATACACATTATTTGATGGAGCGAGGGTTTTAGAAATCAGCTAACGCGATAAAGAACGTATTAAACAGTACAGCAGCCAGTTAAACAACAACTTTGTATTCGCAATAAAGATGATTTGATTTGATTTGAAACAGGATTTCAAAAATCTAAGTATAATGATTTCTGCTTTGTATAAAGCAAAACAACTTAAATTAATTACATTATAGCTAAATCATTACAATTATATTATTACAAGAAAATTCGAGCTTAAATGTAATCTGACCAATCTATTGTTTTGCGTAAATGTTAGGCTGATATCAAGCAGTTTATATTTGTTTTTCTATAAAACTAGTTGACCCAGCGTACTTCGTACCGCCCATAGAAATAGGGACTGGTGGTAGGAGGGTGAAAATTTAGGATTGTATGAAAAAAAATTGTCTAAAAATTAAAATAAATGTTAGGGGTGGACAACCCTTATCACTTAGGGATGTGAAAAATAGATAGTAGACGATTCTCAGACCTACTGAACATACATATAAAATTTCATAAAATTCGGTCAAGCCGTTTCGGAGGAGTATGGTAACTAACATTGTGATTTGTGACACGAGAATTTTATATAAAAGATAACATTAGGGTGTGATTCAATCATGAAAAAATAAGAAACAAACTTACTCTGTCTAACATTTGAACTATGTATTTGGTGTCGGCGAAAGGTCCAATATCCTCAAAGTATCTGCCGTAGACTATGCTCATAGCCTGGAGGCACATGCACTTCATTTCTACTTTGGGCGTGGACAGAAATCGATGGTAAAGGTCATTGAAGAATTCGTATCTGCGAACAATAAATTACCATGCAATTGATGTATATTAATACAATTACACTAATGAATTAAAATTGAAACGTATGAAAATTATGATGTTAAGTAGTGGTAGAGTCCAGACGCAAATATACTTGATGCAATAGTTTTGATCTTCGAATCTCGTTGTTCGCGAAAGAATTATATTTCAAAGGAAGCCTGTGGCAACGTAGGCTACCGCGTGTGTGAGTTGAAGTCACGGAGACCTACAATGATTCAAATTTGTTTTTTTTTATATATTACTAGCGGCCGCCTGCGACTTCGTACGCGTGGAGTTAGTTAGAAATAAAGGTTCACTGCTCGTTCCCCGTATTTGATAGCGTGATAATATGTAGCCAACATATAGGCTACATATTATCACGCTTCTTCCCGACTTCTTAATAATATTCGTGCCAAATTTGAAGTAAATCCATGCAGTACTCTTTGAGTTTATCTCGGACATACATACAGACAAACAGACAAAAATTCTAAATACTACTACATTTTTGGCTTCGGTATCGATTGTACATCACACCCCAATTATTCTTTAAAAAAATATTCAATGTACAGTTTTGTGTTTCCTACCATTTTATTATATGTATCGATAAGGGTGGCAAACAAGCACATGGCCTGATGGTAAGCGGCCACCACAGCCTATAAGCGCTTGCGATACTAAAAATATCACTCACACCTATTTGCCTACCATGATCCAATTCTCTACCCCGTGGAGCCCTGGAACCTTACTCACCGATAGAAACACAACACCACCAAAAGGTAGTGTTATTTTACTGTATCCTTCTGTAAGGTGGAGGTTATTTCCCCGTACAGGCGCCCCAATTAGAGCGGAAAATCCGCTGTGGCCTACCTTTTTTTAATCTTTTAATATTTGAGGACCTCCGTGGTAGAGTGGTTTGTTCGCCGGGGTTCATGGTGTCGCTGACACGAAAGGTCCCAGGTTCGAATCCCGATGGGGGCGCAGATGTTTGTGTGGTAAATAAAAGCATTCGTACATCACGGAGCAGCAAGCGAGCAGTCATGGATGTTTAATATGTATATCTATATAAATATACCTGTATATGTATTGTATCCGTTACCCTAGTATCCCTTAACACAAGCCCTATAGCGCTTACTTTGGGGCTAGGCTAATTAGTGTGTGTTAAAAAAAGATCTAAAACTGCGTAAAACATTTGCGAAGACATACGACTTTCTTATGGGGCTGTCGTCGTTGTCGCGCTGTTCCAGCAGTATTCTGAGGTAGTAGTCTCCGATCTTGACCTCGTTCTGCAGACACTGGTAGTGGACCTCCAGCTCGGCGTGGTTCCAAGAGGTCAATGTATTGCCGGCTGCTTCACGATCGCACATGAAAGCGCGCAATTCGCTTTCTAACGCGTTGCGGAGTTCTTCACGAGTCTAGCAAAAAAAAAACAAGCGAGCCTTACAGTAGGTTTGTATGATGTGTAACATTTGAAACCTCACCTTATATTCATAAAAAAAGAAATAAAACCTACTACAAAAGGAATAAGCCATTTGAACATTATGTTCTAAAATCAAATCAAATAGCGGACGCTTCCCAAACTTCCTGTTACACACTTCCGTCCCACTTCACGTAATCACTCCCACAAATTGCACGAAAACGAGAGGAAAGGTGTTACACATCAATATGTTTTTTTGTTTGTTTGTAATTAAAGTGGGCTCGATTCTCGCATGATTCCCTAAAATTTTATTTTGACAACAGTAATATCGATTCTGACATGAATTTCTAAACCTAAACTTAAATTTGACAACAGTGTAACTCAGTCATTCTCTGTACAGAATGAAAAGGAAAGGCTGATGTAAATTAAGTTTTAAGTTGAGAGAATCATGCCAGAATTGACACCAGTCTCTGTTTAAATAATGACAAGGATACACTGTTGTCAAATTAAAAATTAGATTTGGAGAATCATGCCAGTATCAGGCCCATTGTCTACCTACCCTTACCTTTATAATACAAACGAATACGTTTATCTGTACCCTTAGTACGAGTTTTAGTATTACGAAAACTATGATAGTTTTCGTGAGCTCGCACTAACTGTCAGTTTAACTCATCAATGGTAGTACAAGTTAATTTTTTCGAGCGTCGTTTAAAGGATATCGTCCATCGTTAACTCGATAGTACGAACTTCACTGGTTTTAAATGTAGTAGGTATATAAATACCATCTTATCATAATATAAAGGTATTTTCGACAAATAATAATATTAACTACCGTTATTTAATAAAACTCTGAACTAAATTATAATTTACAACCTTACACCTACTCCGACACCTAAAATACCTATAAGTATTAAATTATTTATCTTACCGTGTGATTCCATATGAGATTCGGAAGTGCGTGGTCCTTATGGAACTGAAAGTAGAACAGAGGCCAATTCGCCGTAGATTTGAGTCTTTCTCTCCGTCTGCGTAACACAACTGGTCTCTCCTTGGCTTCTTTTGTAGCGTTCGCGGCAGTGTTGGCCCCGCGCCCAGTCTTCTGTGCCCAATGTTGAAGCGCTAGGGCGGCGTAGTGCTGTGTAATATTAGTAAATATGAAAAAATAAAACAAAAAGCAACTGCACATTGAGCCACTAATCGCGGCCACTAAAAGCAACCATTAGTGGCCACCACTAAGCCATTAATGTCGTCGCACACAGGCCACACGCGACAGCCACAAACGCCGCCACGAGAAGCTGGAAGCGGCTACAAAGGTAGCTGAAGCGTGCGACAGCCACTTGTGGCCGGTGGTCGGCACTGGCAGTCGGTGGCTGCTATTTTTTTTAAAACATGCGTGCAGTATCATGCAGTGGCGTGCAGGCGTGTGGCGGCGTTTTTTATCGGTGCATTAGTGGCCGGTGCGAGGCACAAGGAGAAGACGATTTGTAGCGTGTGGCGGCCACCGGCGTTAACCGTGTGCAGCGAGTCCATATAAAATGTATGAAAACTACAGGAAATATGCCGATGGCGGCGTTTTGTGGTTGTGGCTGGTGGTCCGTGTGCGGCAACACTTAGCGACTTCGATTGGTGGCTGTATCTCGTGGCTTAACTGAGACACTATTGGGCGCGTTTAGTGGTCGCGATTAGTGGCTCAATATGCGCTTGTTCCTAATGAACGCGCAGTAAAAGTTGATGGTGCATAATCTTTAGGAAATAATGCTTCTTAATGGAATCGCTATACTACTTTTTGTATCTATCTTTTTGCTATGCTAATTTTATGCTACTAATAGGTTGGTAGTGCTAACTACTATACTTATGGTGCAACCCATACTTATAGTTAAACAAAGGCACAACCAGATATAAATGAAGAATTTTCTGAAAACTCCATAATATAGAAATTACTGTTATATTGTAAGCTTTGCAGATATTTTTACAATTTAAAAGGAGCCGAATTTTCTAAAATAAAAGTAATCCAACATTGACGTAATATAAAGAAGTAGATCAGAATCGCGCTTAAAAAGTGTCTAAAGCAAAATTACGCATTTTCATCTATTATTATAATTTTAAACTGTCGTGTTGATTACTTTGTTTCTTAAAATATTTGACTTGTCTCTCGAGCGCGTCCCAGTGCGGGCTACGTTATTTGTCATCTGCTGAGCCAGCTGTAGGTTGTCTCTTTCATCCACGCGGTCGCCTTCTAAAACCGCGGCAGTGGGCGCCTCTGTAGACTCAAAAAACCACTCACCTTCATATGTTTCTCGACATATTTGACTTGTCTCTCGAATGCCTCCCAATGCGGGGCACGTTGTTTGATCGTCTGCTGAGCCAGCTGTAGATTGTCCCTTTCTTCCACGCGCTCTTTTTCTGAAGCCGCGGCAGGGGCCGCCTCTGTAAACTCTAGGAACCACTCACCTCCAAATGTTTCTCGACATATTTAACTTGTCTCTCGAGCGCCTCCCAATGCGGGGCGCGTTGTTTGATAGTCTGCTGAGCCAGCTGTAGGTTGTCTCTTTCATCCACGCGCTCCTCCTCTAAAGCCGCGGCAGGGGGCACCTCTGTCGACTCCAGGAACGCGAGCAAACCCGACGGCTGACGGAAACAATGACATTAAATCCTTTGAAGATTATTAAAAAGGGGTGGAAATCATGGTTAGTGTGGGACCCACAGTCAATGCTACAGTATTGATACGTTTAGTCAAAAAGAATATACACCTTTTATTAGCTCTGTTATGTATCTACGATTGTTTGAAATTTTGTAGAATTTAATTGATTGATGTGTTCATGATGTAACCACTTATTGGAAATAAATTATTATTATTATCTCAGCCCGTATTATTATAAACAATTATGACAAATCACAGGTCCTAAGTTCGGAAGTTAATATTATGGCAAGAAATCGCACAACTTGGAAGGAGAAAAATGATATTTACTTTTAAATGAATTTACGATTTGAAACATTACTACAACAGCAACAGCTTAAGTCTTTCACAGGCGGCTATCTGTGGAAATTAAGTATTCGCTACTTCTCTAACTCACATCTTAAGAGTGCCCATACTAAATAATAAACGAAACATTCTCTTTGTTTGATTGATCTCGGTCATCTTTAATCTGTAAAATTTTCAAATTGAATGCTGTATGAATGTTTACCTTTACTTCTTACCATGCTATAGGCAAACGCTACCTTTACAAACTTACATGATTTAAACTAAATAAATAATTTTAATCTCACCAAATTCGACGCAGCAAATTAGGCGCCGGCGCATGCTCCATCAATCATAACGCCACCAATTTTCGCGCAAGATGGAGATAGGGAAGCGTTACTGGTGCATATAAAACCGACAGCAAATTCCGAGGTAACGCGGCTTCGTCTAGACTAAATAATGTTAAACTCACCATAATTCGACGCAGCAAATTGTGCGCCGGCGCATGCTCCACCAACCACAGTGCCACCAGATGTCTTGCTAAATGGCGATGATGAAGCCTCGCCGGCGCATACAAAGCCGACAGCAAATGACGAGGTAACGCGGCTTCGGCCAGAGCTAAGGCTTGCATCCGAGCCCCAACTGAACCACCCCCCTCTTCAATCAACGCGCGCATCACCAAACCCGCGCCTTTCACTATCGCCATTGACGGGTGCTGTTGACAAAGACTGATTTTTAAAGAAAACACATTGAAGTAAAGTGGATAAACTATAATAGAATAAACTGAGTGCATAGAGCAACACGTCGAGGAAGGGGTTAAGCATATATAGCTTACCCCCAAAAAGTGTACTCATCCGTCAAATCGCGTATGTCGTTTTAGTCTAAGGATCAATTTAAGTGCTCGTTCGATTTATTCGCGTCATAAACTTCATACAAAAGCTCTCATGTCACAATGGCGCCAACTAAAGACGTAAAATTAACACCCTCATTGTGCACAATATGTCTTGGCAAATGGCGATGGTAATGCCTCGTCGGAGCATACAAAGCTGACTCCAAATGACGAAGTAACGCTTACATCCGAGATCTTGCTGAACCAACCCCCTCTTTGATCAACGCACGCATCACCAACCCCGCCTTACACTATAGCAATCGACGGGTGCTGGCGACAAAGATTGTTTCTTTTATACAAGTCGCAGTGAGTCATAGAGAATGGACTTAGCGACACTGACTGAGAAGATTAAGTTGACAACTTTTTAGAAAGAGAGAAAACACCAATACATAGACGTACTTTGGCCGCCATATTGCTTTTGCTCTGACACTTCAAGTGTCTAGTTCTACTTGACAGTTAGTTCGGTTCGGGTTGGTTTGACAGGAATCGCGCAGACTATTTTCTTACATCCTCATCCTCAGTCAATTAATGTACCCACCGCTGGGGCACAGGCCTTGCCTATGAATGGAATAGCGATATTGGGCCGTGACCCACTACGCGGGCCTAGTGCTGATTGGTGAATGCTAACGACTGTAGATGCAGCTGAGACTAACAGCTAAACTTGCCCTTTTGAATCACGAGCTCAAGGCAGTAAATTGAAGGTCATCAATCTATCCGGTCTCGATCCACCCATACACACGATTCCCAGTAAATAAGAAAGAGGATGAAAATAACAAAGGCATACCATATCTCTGTAAAAGTAAAAGCTTTACAATAACGAACTCACCTCGAACAATTTGAAGAGGACACGGCCTTTATTGGCGACCATTTCCAGTAGCTGATCGAATTGCTTGCCGTCTGTGGTCTCACTGTACGGCACGCAAAGTGCAAACGTTAGGAAATCCAGCATCGCCGCTACCACTAATGCCCCACTACCGGACGTCTGTTAGGGAAAACAAATAGTATTTCAACTGCATAATGGCATAACAATATGAAGTTTTGTTTTCATAAGCTGTATGATACCTGTCAATGCAGAAATACGAAAGCAAAGAAAAAATAATTGCTAGAAAAATATCAACTCAGTCAAGGTTTCATCGCAATATTAATATTACAGAAGGTAATATTAGATTTTGTCATAATATCAAAAATATTCACAATACTCTTTAAAGTTCTTTTTTTTTCTTTAAAGTTCAGCTTTAATACACATTCTTGTATCACGGACGAAAGAATATCATAAATTATTATTAACACTTCTTAATAAATTACAAAACCAAAAACTGAAATTGTACCAATACCATATTTCAAATAAAACTTGTAAAACAATCTTATGCCAATTAAAAGGTGATTCGATAGAAATTAAATTTAAATTATCTATTTCACTTATTCCAGAAGAATATTCTCACCACATGCTCCGCCCACATAGTGAGTAGTCCTTCCAAGAACGCCGTAGATGACAGCATGCTGGCCTTATTCAGTTGTTCTTGCCTAAGATCCGGTTCTTGGTGCATCGGTTGCATGAGAGCGCATACTGCGTCTAAGGCCGCGTGAGAGCAAGCAGCAGAACCGCGGCGTAATGCGCTAACTACCGCTGTACCGATCCATTCGCGGAAACTACGCGACGAGAAAAAAATTAAAGAGGGTCATCAGTTGTTCTTGCCTAAGGTCCGGCTCTTAGCGCATAGGTAGTATAAGTGCGCACGCTGTTTCTAAGGCCGCGTGAAAGCAAGCAGCAGAACCGCGGCGTAGTGTAAGCGTATGCATAAACAAGACACAGAACGTGTAATAATCACTACTACAACTTTTGCTAATTTATTCCTTCACCAGTGGGTGGCCGCGACTTCATCTGCGTGCACAATAGTTTTCCCGTTCAAATTTCCACTCCCCTTTTCACCCTCTTAAAGGATGATTTCTAGGATAACATAGGATGGTATGTCCCTTACGGTGACTCGAGCTATCTTTATATCCAATTTCATCTAAGTCGGTTCAGTGGTTTAACCGTGAAGAGATAACAGACACAAAGACAGATAGACTTTCGCATTTATAACATGATATTGCTTGGAGAATTGTTTCTATGCTGTTTTTGGAAAATACAATTATTATTATAAATATGAAGTATGGATTTGAAGGTCTAACTTACCCAGGTAGCGCTGTGAACGCAGCGAAACCGACTTTGCTAGCGCACAAACGGCGTAACGCGTGAAATTGCGCCTCCAACTCTCTCGGTGGTAACGTCCCCCCAGACGCGGCACTAGCCACGAGAGCATTCAGAGCACCCGTTATCAACTTCTCCTTGTTCTCGGCGAATAGTCGCTGCAGAATACGGGCGAATATAACGACTCGTCTTTTAATAAAGGAAGAAATGCAAACTGCTAGTGCTTAAATATACACTCGACTTAATATATAATTAGTTTATTTAAACTGGGCCACTTGCTACCACGGAACTCTGATTCGATTTTCTCAAAAAGTATTAAACTTACAACTATTAAAATTCTAGTTCATTTTAGTCACCACGAAACGCACTTTCTTTAGTTATTAAAGAAAGTGCGTTTCGTGGTGATTAAAATGAACTAGAATTTATTGAGATTAATCAATTAATTAAATTTTTATTTAAAAAAAAGCCAAGGAAGAATCGTTTTCCAATTGTGGTGTTCGGAAGTAACGAACGAAAAATACTCACGCCTGAAAAAACTATGGAGAAAAACTAAGAAAATGATAAGAAGTATCAGACTATCTTCATTTTATAAAAAAGAAGGATAATCGCGACTTATTACAAAAAAAAATAGTAAATTGTTAGCATTGCTGTTCTTGCTCGATTACAAATTTTTACTCATATTAATAATTATGGAACACACTTTCTGTAGACATAGCTTTAATAGTTGTAAGTTTTATACTTTTTGAAAAAATCGAATTAAGAGTTCCATGGTACTAGCGGCTGGCCCAGTTTATTTGCAGTCGAGTGTAGTTGGAAACTATATGCCGCGTATTAAAGTGCTTCTCGCTACATTTAGGCCCCACATTTATTATACGATGTATTTATGAAATTAAAAAAAGGAAAATTTAACTAAATATCAGAAATTTTACTCGATGTAAGGTGAACGCACATTTGCAGGCGCTGGACAGGAAAACCGTCTACAAAGAGTATACGCCGTAAGTAGAATCGGTGCTGATTGTGTGGCTCTAATGCGAGGTACCTTTATCAAAGATATTTAATATTCTTTTGGGGTATTTAATATCGTTGACCTTAACAGTAATTTCTATAACAATACTGACTTGTCAGTAACTTTCCTCGTTCAACGCGTATAAATGTACGATCACCTTAAACCATGCGCGTAAAAATGAACTAAGCTTGGGTGTTAATTTAGAAATGACTGTGACAGAAAATAATATACAAAACCGATATTTACAAAATAATACAATTTACAGCGGAAACGATGAAACCAGCCAGTGGTCTGCACTGGAGAAAATAAACACAGGACAGACAGGATGATAAAAACAAAAAAAAAGCAATTACATTACGCGTGTTCTAACTTTTTAAATATGTACATTGAAGGTGTGAATAGCAAATAATATGATGAGGGACTTACAAGATCCCACGTAAGAAACAGCCACAACAGGGGACGGGCCTACAGGCACATAACATAACGTTTATAACGTAAAATCAATGTAGCAACTAAAAAAAAACAAGATGTGCAGATAAAAAGCGAAAAAAAAACAATAATGATTAAAATATGACACACGTTCAACTTATGAAGAGAGAGAAAATCTCCATTTGTCTTTTCTGTAACTTGTTAGTCTTGCAGTCGTACATATAAAACTTAATCGCTTATTATATCATAATACATTTTAATAGTTCAAGTTACTGACATTATGTACAAAACTTGCTTTACATGCCACGCGTTGCTATGGCTAAAAAAGTAAAAAAATCTTTTACATGTATTTGATTCTGAATAAAAATAAAATAATTAACACATTTTCGTGAAAACCTCAAAATTTTATTGTTGATGGCAGATTTTATTGAAGCCTTATTTAATATAAACATGCGCGTAAATAAATACAACGATGAGTTAAGAATTGAAGGGAATTTGCATTTCTGAACAAACGAACATTATACTTTCAAATAAATACCTAGATGACTTGTAAGTAAAACTATTTATAACATTATGAATAATTATTGCAGTAAAGAGTTTAATGAGTAAATTATGATACAGCATACTTGAGTGTAATGTGTGTGAGTGAATAAGGTGAATAGGGAATGCAACGCGATAGAAAAGGACAGACTCACGTCCTGACTGACGGAGTAGTTGAGGCCGCTGTAGCCAACGTTAGCGTTGAATCTCTCTATCACTTCCGCTCTACACATGCCTACTGGGTTTTGGAATAACCTGCGAAATAAAATCAAAAATATACTCTCAAAAGGAACTTCGCAACATGAAAATTTTGCCGGTTTATATTGTTTTTCATAACTATATTCTTTTGTTGGTGTTACCAATTTGATTTATTAGTGACTTTAATTTATATATTTATTAGTTAATATATAATATCAACTGATAAAACTCGCAGTTTGCGTAAATTACGCATGTTGCTTATATTTTTTTGATGAGTGTATTTAAACACTTTTCTTTTATTTAAAAGATCTTTGAATTCAATAGTTTCCTAGTGCAGATACCCCCTCTGTTATTATGTTTTATTAATTAAACATTTCTTTAATTGTAAAATTCATAAGGTGTCAAAGAAAAATAATATTTATATTAGTTCACTGGTAAACTATCTTCACAGCAAAGCTTAGCTGCTGGTGTATTCTATTTCGTCTTTCAATGCCCATTAGGCGTTGGAGATATATTGTGTACAAAAGTAAAATAAACAGATTCCGCTAAAATTAAGCGTGTTTTTCCTTATTTAAGTTTATTTAAGCAAATCTTTTTAATATTTATTGACGGACATAAAAGGGAGACCTAGTGGGGAATTTTGGATTTACTTGAGTGCGGCAAAATAAAATTAAGGGGGAAATCCTGCACCTTGGGAAGTACTCCTGCCATACCTGAGCCCTCAATGAAGGGCCGAACGTCTAAGGCACTAAAAATAAAAAGAACAACAGATGCCCATTGATGATTGGTCACTTACAAATCCTGCCTTTTGAATAGGAGCTACTTGAGGGTTCTCATTTGGATTTGGATGCGCAAATGAACACTAAGTATAAGTGAAAACTGAACTTTAACCTTAAATTAAACTTAACACGACTCTTATGTTACCTCAAGTGGTTGGACTCTGTTTCCTCGTCGACGGGCATGTGTAACGGCCCAAGGCGACGGCCGCGCGGCGTTGGAGTGGACCGCACGTGGACGTCGCGTTGCCCCGCCCCGCGGACGCCGTCAAGCAACGACGCGACCAGTGCGTCCCTACGTAACAATCATAGCATCAACCTATTGTAGTCTACATATGAGTGGACCGCACGTGGACGTCGCGTTGCCCCGCCCCGCGGACGCCGTCAAGCAACGACGCGACCAGTGCGTCCCTACGTAACAATCATAGCATCAACCTATTGTAGTCTACATATGAGTGGACCGCAAGTGAACGTCGTGTTGCCCCGACCCGCGGACGCCGTCAAGCAACGACGCGACCAGTGCGTCCCTACGTAACAATCATAGTATCAACCTATAGTAGTCTATATAAGAGTGAACCGCACGTGGACGTCGCGTTGCCCCGCCCCGCGGACGCCGTCAAGCAACGACGCGACCAGTGAGTCCCTACGTAACAATCATAGCATCAACCAATTGTAGTCTACATATGAGTGGACCGCAAGTGAACGTCGTGTTGCCCCGACCCGCGGACGCCGTCAAGCAACGACGCGACCAGTGCGTCCCTACGTAACAATCATAGTATCAACCTATAGTAGTCTATATAAGAGTAGACCGCACGTGGACGTCGCGTTGCCCCGCCCCTCGGACGCCGTCAAGCAACGACTCGACCACTGCGTCCCTACGTAACAATCATAGTATCAACCTATAGTAGTCTATATAAGAGTAGACCTCACGTGGACGTCGCGTTGCCCCGCCCCTCGGACGCCGTCAAGCAATGATGCGACCACTGCGTCCCTACGTAACAATCATAGTATCAACCTATAGTAGTCTATATAAGAGTAGACCGCACGTGGACGTCGCGTTGCCCCGCCCCTCGGACGCCGTCAAGCAACAACGCGACCAGTGCGTCCCTACGTAACAATCATACTATCAACCTATTGTAGTCTACCTATGAGTAGACCGCACGTGGACGTCGCGTTGTTCCTACGAACGGATGCAACGAAAAATAATATGGGGTGTAAAATGACAGCAACAAACTAGAAACAAATTCTAGAACAGTTATTTCCTGCCGATCCGCATTTTTACCACTTTTCTGTTTTGGATCTTCGCGTGTTATCAGCCGTTGGGCCTCTTGGTTTATTTCGCAACAAATTCGCTCAATCTTTGATTAGATCAAAAGTTACAGCTTAATACTTAAGTTAAGCCAACCTCTGTTTCTCGGGAACGGCTGGAGCAACAAAATCAATTCTTGAGTAACAAATTAGCAAAAAATTACAATGTAATTTATATTTGGTTAGGCTATAGTGGCAGTGCTAGCAAAATGGGCTTCGCAAGTGTTGCTCCTAAACACAGAATTGTTAATGTGTTTATGTGGTATAAATATTGTCTATCTAAACATACCTCTCTCCTGCAAGGTAAGTGCGAATTTGGCCATTGAGATATTCTATAGAGAACTTTTGTGGATGCTCTGGATCTCTGACTAAGGCGAATACGTCGCTCAAAGGCCGAAGGCAGACCACCTGCAATTACAAAATAAACCAATCCATACTAATATTATAAATGTGAAAGTGTGTCCGTCTGTCCGTTTGTTACCTCTTCAGGCTAAACCACTGAACTGATTTAGATCAAATTGGGTATAGGTAGATATAGTTTGAATCCCAGGAAAGGACATAGAAAAAAAAATTATATTAGAAATCATTCTTGAGAAGTATACAGGGTGAAATTGAATGTTTGAATGATTTTTTAAAATAAAATTTTTCGTTTTTTAATTTTTTATTTGGTTATTTTTTTGTCATTTCTTCCTTATGAGTAATTATTCATTTTAAACACGTCTACATAGAAGTTATAAAGCAACTTAAAATAAGCACTACTAAAAAAACGGAAACTTAATGAATGCCTTCATTATGCCTCCAGTCGAGATCAGCGCCGGTCGGGGCGACGACCGCGGCCGCCTGTGTAGGTACCTACTACACGCACAGATGACTCGGCACTTACCTACTCTCCGCTTTGATCCACACTATTTAAAAACATTACAATAAAATAGTCTTAGATGCTTTATTATAATTATTTATTCACTGATACTATGTCAAATTTTCTCTAGTATTTTTCTTTATGCAAGGCAGCGCCATCTCTTCGCATTGTAGGTAGGTAAAATTGTGGGGAGCATCATGGTCAGTGCATTCGCCCGGATAGCAAAGGGTGCGGGTTCGAGTCCCCTCAGTTGCTTGGCTCGCGTGTTTTTTTTTAGTAAACTTTCCTTTGGGTTTTAACATCTAGCAGTTAAATCCTTTAAAAAAAATTGTTTCCCATATGTACAAATTTTCACTTCCTTCATACCAGGATAAACCATTATGTCCTTCCCCCAAGACTCAAACTATCTCTTTATCAAATTTCATCTAAATCGGTTTAGCGGTTTAAGCGTGAAGAGGTGACAGACAGACACACTTTTACAATTATAACAATTATAATATCAGTATTGATAGAGACAAATGTCTTCCTACTAAATTATTTTAAATATATTTATTGTTTTTCGTTATATCCCATACAGCCCGAGCTTCCCAGCAGCTTAATAATTTTAGTAGATACGTACTAAACTAGGTCAGTACTAAAAATTCGCATTAATATACTTGATGGATTCGGATTTTAAAAACTCTTTATATTAATCACAATGTTTTTAAGAATACTGACCTGTGACGCCGAATAACCACCTAAAATTGGTTATCATGTATGACTAGGCAATACCTTTGAATATTGTTTCATAAAGCACAGGTAATTAATCAATAAAATAAATCTTCTGTTAGAGCAATTAAAAATCCTATAAAGTTAATATGACTGTCACGATTTTAAATCGGTAAAGCCTGTCTGTTAGTGTAAGAACTTCTTTTTTATTGTTAATGTTAGTTGCCTCGTTTAATGAAAACTTAAGCACAAACGGCTTATTAAATTGGGAAAAATCATACAGAGCAAATCGGTATAACTTACGAGCTTAGTGAAGGAAGGAACTCTTCGTGTCTGATTTGCCCACGTCATGAAATTCCCAACACATTTAATCACAGCCACAGTCACACACACACACGTAATAATATGTTGTTTTGCGGCAAGCACGGGCGGCGCGCCCCCTCGCTGGCAACTAGCGCCGGTTGCGGCGTCTTTGATGATGTGAATTCCGCCCACCTCCCCTCTACCCCGCACGCGGTGGTTTGCTTTGATTGCATGCAAAACGCAGTCGCAAGTATATAAATCGCGCGTGGACGTGCGCATTTTTTGACTTAGTGACATACACTGTGATAATTTCATTATGCGTCGGTATACGAGCCAAGAATACCTAGAGATGGTGTACTGCTATCGCGAGTGTGACGAAGTAGGTTTGGTTTACGAATGAGTCCCCAAACCATAGAAGTTGCATTTTGTGCAGTGAGTAGTGATAGGGACACTTTAAAAAAGGTGAAAAGACACGATCGCAAACATGCCTACCTTTGTTTGCAGCAAAATGGTGGTTTAGAGCAACAATTTTGCAGATAATAATTTAAGTCTCTTTTTATTGCTACTGTAAATACTTTTTGATTAGAAACAATACTAATTGTGTACTACCAGTGTGATTGATTTGATAAAAAGTTCTAGTGAAAAAAATGAATATGTTCCTCGTTCCTCGTTGTACCTACCTACATCGCCGGTCTCGTAAGTACTTTTGAATACCGGGTTATAAATTTCATTCTGACCCAAGTATTGAACTGCAATAAGTATTTCTTTTTGTTTAACATTTGCCTATTTCCAATCGTGACAAAATTATTATTAACTTTTAAAGTTTTTCTCTGCTTAAGAGAAGATGACATTTGTGCTTATTATTTCAATTTCAATAAAGGCATCTAAGACGATTTTATTGTATTGTGTGGAATCAAACGAGTCAGCTGAGCTCTGTGTAGAGGTACCTACTCACTCAACGGCTGGCGGGCGCGGTCGGTCGTTGACCCGCGGTGGAATTTAATGTTTTTCCGTTTTTTAGAAGTGCTTATTTATTAGTTGTTTTTCACTGGATATGTAAGTTTGTTTGTTTAAAACGAATAACTACTCAAAAGGAGGAAAGGACATAAAAATACACAAATTATAAATAAATACATGAAAAAAATATACTTCAAAAAAATCCGAAAAAAAACAGGCATACTCTATACACATAACCCAACAATCTCACGAAGTTTCATAGAAACATTCAATTTCACCCTATATATGGAAAATCAATTGAACCACACATTCGAAGTCGCGGGCGGGTGCTAGTGGGTACTAGTACATATATAAATCTACAAATTATACCCACAAGCAAACTACAACATAACATAGCAGGTAACTTTTACTTTTAAGTTTACAACAGATGACACGCTTTTTGCGTGATTATGAATGTAGTGCTTTCACAAGATTCTTTTTACAGTCTAGTGTACTTTTTCGACGTCCATTTTCAACGCTAAATGCGCTAAATGGGGGGGGGGGGGGGAATTCAGATAAACTGACACCGTAACGCGTTACGTTACGAAGCGGTTTACCCTCCCATAAAAAGTTATCAATTCAAAAAGAAATATACCAAACTTACCGAATAAGTCTGTGGATCTCTCTCTAGTATGCAAGTGTCGGACAGGCATAAGGTGCGTCGCATAGGCTCCATGTGACGCGCGGGGTTCACTTTGTGCACCATAAACTCGCTGAGAGATGTCTGATGCTGATCACCACTTAAACAAATTAAAAAGAAATTATGATGCTTGATCTTTATGCAAAGGAATTTAATGCATTAATAAAAATATTCATCCTGCCTTCTGTACTAAAAGCCCTGTCCTTTAGTCATTTGGTATGTGATACTAAATTTAATTGAAAATATTATATTTTTATATGTACCTATATAAAGAAATAAATTAAAGCTTGGAACTTAAAAATGACTGATTCTACCAGACCAGCCATGAATCAGAGAATATGTGTTAAAAATTTCTCTGATAAAAATGTAATGTGTTCCACAATTAAGTCTAATATAATGTGAGACCTATAAATTATTTAGTGCTTATGTCTTTCACAGCTGTACATCAGTTAGTTTCCTAAAACCTGATTTTTTATGACTGATTATAAAATGGTTTTCAAATAATATTATACATATTTCAATATCATTAATATTTTAAGCTTTTGAGCATTAAATTCAAATCATAATGTTATACCAAATGTTGTATTTTATTAATTAATGTGTACAGTGTGCTGTATACTGCTGTTAATTAGACACCTCATAATTATTTAGATAAGTGCACAAGGTCATGTGAATCATTGTTCTGTTTGTTAAAACACGGACAATAACTTTTTATACATGAGTTTGTCAATTACCAACTCCATTAAATGTCTTTTTAATATGCATCACCATTTTGAACTTTTATAATAAATATTCATTTTAATTTGATAACTAGGAATCATTATTTATTTTTATTTGTAGCTTAATCTTGACATTCACTATCATATATTGTACCAAGGACATCAGGAATAATCTTATTATTTTACAGATTTCTTCTGCTTCCTATAGAAATATGTAATTCAATTAAACACCAAATACATTTAGTAAGTTTATTTTAGTTGTATCTTTGTTATATAAAAAGTTGTAGTTTGAGTATATCATCTACCTTAAACACTCATGCACTTATGCAGTAGACTAGTAACCCAAATTGAAAAAAAAACAACTTATTTTAAGTCATAACTTGCTTAAGAAAAGTCACTTTGTGCTTACTTTGATGTGTTGATCACTGTACCATATAAAAAGACAGCTAATATGGGTACAATGACCTCAGAAGTTAACTCTTTATTTAATTTGTTGTGGTCTAACTATAAAATATTTTTAAGTCAGGTGTGCCTGCTTGTGGGTGGTTATGACATCAACAACATTGTTTTTATGACACAGATCAGATAAAAGTAATTGATGCTATTCTGCATGTGAATCCCATTTTAATATAAACAAACGAAACACTACTATAATTTTTTCATATGTAATAAAATCAAAATAATTTATTAAACAAATTAAAACCGTACCTGTATTTTCCAAATCTTTGGTTGTGATAGTCATCCAAAGTGATGGTAGTTGACAACACTTTTATGCTTATGCTGAGGGTTAAATTAGCCATCTCTAACATCTTGTTAATGATCATTTGGTGTTCCATTGAGTTGGAAAACAAATGAAGCCGGCTGTAGCCCCCAACTGCCAAGACGAAGCCTCCAGGAACATCTCTGACCTATTAAACCACAAAACTTGGCAAAACAAATTTTATTTTATAAGAAAATCTAAAATATAAGATGGGTTATTTATGTTCATTTAAGTGAAATAGGACTAGGTTCAACTCAAGGGAAATAAAAGCCTAGTTCAATCAAGGAGTTGATAAATATAACAACCTATTTATTATATTTTTATTTATTAAGCATTTAACTGATAGATGCTTAAATCTTCAAATAATGTATTAGTAAAAAACTTCTTTATTTATTTATTTTATTGGACTCACCAATAACAATATCACAATTATTACATAAAAAGAAAAACAAACAGGTATTACAAGTGTGTGTGAATTATATTTTAATGTGTATTCAGCAATAGCTGTACATTTATTGGTACAACATTAGTCTCTAAAGTTATTCCTCAAATATTTATTTGAGGTAAGTTAATTGTTACTTAATGGAAAATATTTTGCTTTTCAATGCTGGGAAAGATAGGTGTCAGATATCAAATCTTTATCATTTAGATAAAGTCTTGTCTCAAATTATACCAATTAAAATAACTAGTTAACCTTCGACTAGGAGGATATCTCACCTCAAGTATACCCTGGATGTCACAATATGGATAGCTCGCCAAAAGTGTGTGTGTGGATGGGTCAAGCTGGTCCAAAGCACATGGCCCAACTTCAAGAACTATTGGCAACCGAGTACCACTCCAATGATGCTTGTAAGCTTGATATCTCTATAAAGTGTTAAATTAAAACATAATTAGCATTATCATAGTATAGCTACTATTCATAAGCAGGTTTAATTTTTTTTTATACTCACATAAATATCTTTAGGTTTCTCAGCAAATAGGTGTCTGTATTTAAATGCCTCTGTTAATATGAGACACTTGTGTTCAGAGGAAAACTTCATAGAGTTTGAGTTTGAGACTTTTTTCTCCTTTTTCATGACAAGTGTAAAGTCATGGTTGGCAACAGAGTTTGAGTGCTTTGAAGAGGAGACAGTTATGACATCTGAGTAAAGCCACTTGTTGGTCACCTCCAAGCGATCTGGATTATATGTGGTGATACCATGGGTGCCCACAGAAAACACCCTTTTATACTTTCCTTTCCAAGAATGTTTTGTGACAAGGAATGATGCCACATCTTGGTTATCTTTTAAAGGAATCATCTTATCATCGCCTGCAAATAAACACTAAGTGACTGCATATGAAAAATTACTATTATTTTTTGACCTGATTACAGTGGTGGCAATTCTGGCATGATTCTCTAAACATAATCTCAAATTTAACAACAGTGTATCCTTGTCATTTTATTTACAGAATGAATAAGAGAGACTGATGTTAATTTTAGTTTTAAGTTTAGAGAATCATGGTAGAATCGAGACCAGTGTTACTATCAGAAATGGAAAGGAAATATTGAGCATATTGTTTATACTGACGTACATTTTACCGATTCAATAAGCATAAAGATAGTCTGAGCAGCGAATTATTCAATATTAAAAAAAGGATTTAATTTTACTATCAGTACGATCCTCCCCTTTGTAAATTGTTGAGGAAACAAGGCACTGAGGACGTGTAAACAACGATTTTTATGTTATTTTTATCATTAATACAAGTAGCACAATGCCAAGTACATACTTACAATTTACTATGTAATCAATAAGTTCATAACAGTTTTAGCTAATATCAATCAGGAGCAACATATCATCCCAAATTAATCTAAAATTTGAAATTATACGAGCACAAGAAAAGACAGTCCAATCATTCATTTGACAGTTGGAATATTTATAATTTTTATATTAACTTACATTTGATGATAAAGGAAAACTTGTCCATATAGCCATATTCTTTTATGTTGATTTAGATTCTGAAATTAATAGGCAAATCTTCAATTAAAACTTAGTATCCTCGTATAATCCTTAATAATGTGCTAAAAAAAGTAGAAAAGAGACTGTTTTTAAGTTTTAAGCAAAGTTTCTATTTATTCCCGTTGGTCCCTAAAATGTTCCATACATAATCAAGGATAATAGTGTCAATTCTGGTATGGTTCTCTAAACATAAACTTTAATTTGAGAACTGCATTCTACAGAATTATTACGAGAGAGTGGTGTCAACTCTGGCATGATTCTCTAAACCTAAACTTAAATTTGACAACAGTGTATCCATGTCATTCTCTTTACCGAATGAAGGAGAGACTGATGTTCTATTTAGTTTTAGGTTTAAAGAATCATGCCAGAATCGACACCACTGTTGTTAAATTTAGTTTTATGTTTAGAGAATTATGCCAGAATCGATACCAATAATGGCACTCGGAGCGTAGGTACGGAACGTGTCCACTAAAAGTTTGCGTTAATGTCAAAATTGTTATGCCGGCACTTCACTTGGCTATTCCAATTTGCTTAGTAGTCCTCGAAAGCTTTAAATGGAAAGGACTGAAATCAAGGAAACAAATAGCAAACACGGATAGCCAAGTGAAGTGCCGGCATTAGCTGTCAATGTCTACGCACAAGAAGATACGTTAAAAAATCTTAAATAAATTAAGGCAACTAGGCTTTGTTTTACTTGAGGAACCACATATTTACTAACTATTCTTTGCAAAATAAACTTTCATATAATGTTCAATCATATAAATATTGAACCAATCATTTAAATTTCGTAATAGCAGAATATAATTTTTACTAAAGATGATTTTCAAACGGTAGTGCAGATTGTCCGATACCGATAGCCGTCACTGGCCGTCACCGTGCCGCATGCAGTCGTGTCGCGAATTGAATTTGCAACGTTGACTAATTTGGCTAAGATTTGACTACAAATACACATTACTTTCATCAGCCACGTATTAGTAACCATGGTGCTCGATTTGGACTTGTTTCGGGCTGACAAAGATGGTGATCCAGACAAAATTCGTGAGAACCAACGCAAACGGTTCAAAGATGTGGGCTTGGTGGATACTGTTGTCGAACAAGATACACTGTGGAGACGATTGCGCCACGATGCTGACAATTTCAACAAACTTAAAAATGTTTGTAGCAAGGAGATAGGGCTAAAAATGAAGAGCAAGGAACCAGTAGGGCCGGAGGATGAGCCAGTGCCCAATGAAATTGCCAATAACCTAGTAAATCTAACAGCTGATCAGCTGAAACCCCTTACAGTAAATCAAATCAAAAAGGTATTCATTAGAGTCATGTCTTGATTGGTATATTTTTAATTTAATTATCTGATTTCATATCTTAAAGCCATGCCATACTTTACCCATATGTTTTGTAAGAATTCTACATAAAACGTTTATGTAATTCATATACACAAATATTATTTTATTCATTATAGAAGTAAATTCAAAATGTATTAATTTGTTGTCATTTCTTTAATATAGGTTCGTATTTTGATTGATGAGGCCATAACGAGGAATGAGCAAAACCTTTTGGCAGCTGAGAAAGCTCGTTCTGCTGCTCTCCGGGAAGTAGGAAACCACTTGCATGCTTCAGTGCCAGTAGATGATGATGAAGACCACAATGCTGTTGAGAGAACTTATGGGGACTGTGCCTTTAGAAATAAATATTCACATGTTGATTTGATTTGTATGATTGATGGTAAGTATTTTTTTTTTGTAGAAAGACAAATAATCTGTTAATAGTAGAGATGCACCGAAATTCGATTCACATTCGGTATTACTGAAGTTTGGCATCTTTTAGCGAACTTTGTCTTTGACCCACTGTTTATTTCTCGCGCTTGTTTTTGGAATCTGAATCTGAGTGCACTCTGGCCGTACCCTATGTTTTTATTGTGGTTGTTGTTCTCGTAAACATTTTGCTCATAGTTTAGGACCAAGCAAGTTCCTAAGCTTTTTTGGAAAAAATAGAAACAAATAATTATGCTTGAATAATAATATAATAGCTTCAAGTTATATTATACTTTCTTATTTATGTCACATCTGTGTAAATAGATGCTAATATTCTATTCTGTGTAATAAAGGTATGAAAGAAATTAACACATTGTTTTACCATACTATTGTTCTTAGTGACTTGTGAATGAAATACTTTAACTGTCAATCAATAGTGTATTGATTAGAATTGGAAACTAAAAAATTTATAAGGGAAATTCATATTTATGTGAATAAAATATGAAACATTTCAAAAAGTGCTTCTTTACTTCATTTGATTGATTAGGTTTTTTTTTTCAATTTGGGAGTTTAGGAAAATAACATCACTGGTTGGTGCCTCTTTACGTGATATCTTTTGTATGACGTTTTTGTACTGAATTAATCGAGCAAGCATTTATACTGATACATAGACTATGATGACAAATACAATTTGATGAATGAATAGCCTTTTCGCATCAGTGATGACACCTGACGTCCGTCATTCTAGAAAACCCTCATTTATAATTTATTTTTAGGAATGGATGGTGAAAGAGGTGCAGCGGTTGCAGGCGGCCGTGGGTACTATCTGAAGGGCCCTGCAGTCTTCTTAGAGCAGGCTCTAGTGCAACTCTCCCTAAGGATTCTATTGAAAAAAGGATATACACCTTTATACACCCCTTTCTTTATGCGAAAAGAGGTAATTCTTTAAGACTTTCTTCTTTAACTTCCAAAAAGAAATCTATGGGTTGATAAACTTTGATAAAATGAGAATAAACTTAGTGGGCAAAATATTTGGTTCATAATTGGTTTTGATTTTAGGTAATGCAAGAAGTAGCACAGCTAGCACAATTTGACGAAGAGCTCTACAAAGTTGTAGGCAAAGGATCTGAAAATAAAGGAGATAGTGCAGTAGAAGAAAAATATCTAATTGCAACCTCAGAACAGCCGATAGCTGCCTACCATAGGGATGAGTGGCTACCTGAAACTTCACTTCCAATTAGGTAATAAGTCCAATAATTGAATTTAAACACACTACTCAGTTTTTGCTGCTGTAGCAGATTCACCTTCCTCACCAACCATTCACACCAAACGGCCAGCAGTTGCTTTTTCATGTCCTTATTAAAAGACCTTGGGCTGTAGGAAGAGGACAAAGAAATTAGTTTTACATAATTTCTGTTATTTATCTAATGAAATAATAATATTATAATATATTTTATTATTACTAATAACACTGACTTTATAAAACAAAGATACAAAATGTGTAAGAAATGCACCTTTATAGAGTAAATTATGTTTATTCCTTTCTATAGCCTCTGTAATTTAGTATATAGAAATCATAATTTCTTGCCCAGATATGCGGGTCTGTCTACCTGTTTCCGGCAAGAAGTAGGATCGCATGGTCGTGATACGCGCGGTATCTTCAGAGTTCATCAATTTGAAAAGGTTAATATTGTGTTTTAGTGTTAATTAATAGTCTTCCTTTAAAATTTCACACTTCTTAATGCTAATACTTCTAATCATAATGTGACTCGTCCACCTCTATCTTAATAGTTTTAATATAATATGTAACGTCAGTTGTATTACACCTATATACATTCCACTTTTATGACTAGCCATCTGAGTTCTCCAGTAATTTGTCTTCTTTAATCACTTCTTAATTAATTTCAACATCTCATGACATTTTGCTATTTATGACTATTTCACAACTCATCAGGTGGAGCAATTCGTCCTTACTTCGCCTCACGACGATGCCTCCTGGAAGATGATGGACGAGATGATCGGCAATGCTGAGGAGTTCTGCCAGACTCTAGGGCTGCCGTACCGCGTCGTGAACATAGTCTCTGGAGCCCTAAATCATGCTGCTGCCAAGAAGTTGGATCTGGAAGCGTGGTTTCCGGGATCGGGGGCTTTTAGAGAACTGGTCTCCTGCAGCAACTGTCTGGAGTACCAGGCTAGGAGACTGCTGGTTAGGTGAGCAGATAAATTACACCCAGCATTTGTATATTGATATCCCAACAGGCATGAAGACAACACGATCTTTTGGCGTTGTTCTGTTTCTGTCGGTTTGTAAAGTTCCAGGGCTCTACGGAGTACGAAATTGGGTCAGGGTTAGAAGGCGCGAGTGATATGTTTTGTTTCGCAAGTGTCCATTGGCTGTGGTGGCAGCTTACCATCAGGAAGGCGATATGCTTGTTTGTCAACCTTATATTATAAAAATAAAAAAGAGAAAAAAATAATGTATAAAAGCACTTAGTACCTATATTATGTACTTAGTAGTTATGAGCCCGACATTGTGATGCTGACGATTGTCAGATCACTGTCAGATGCAGCCGGGACCAATAGCTTAAAAACCATGTCAGAAGGTTTACTCTCTTTCACTTTTAGTAACATTCAGTATAATGAACAAATTTATTCTTCTTTTTCACACGTAAATTCACGATTCACGAACAAGTCTTCTGAAGAGTAATTGTTTTTCGAGATTGTCTCCAGGGGGACATTCGCATAACGGAAATGCTTAGTAAAACGCTTACGATTTCATTTTGTTATTTCTAGCCGCCTGAGGTTTTCAAATGCCTCACGCTCTTTTTTTTCTTTTGCATTGGTAATAACAATATTAAAAAAAATGAGGGTGAGGTATTTGAAAACCTTCGGCGGACAGAAATAACAAAATAAAATCGAAAGCATTAAAGTTTTCCAAAGCATTTCCGTTATGCGAATGGCCCCCAGGTCCATTGTTTAGTTATACTAAATTTTATTTTAAGTATTTTAGGTTACTTATGTTAAGAGAGGTAGAGCATAGCGGACTTTATGCTTGAATTAGAGCTTTTGGGGAATTAACAGTCATCTTACAGAAAATCACAGTAAAATAACACTACCTTTTGGTGGTGTTGTGTATCTGTCGGTGAGTAAGGTTGCAGGACGCCACGCGGTAAGGGATTGGGTGAGGTAGGGCGACTGCGCGCCTGATATTTTTTATATATCACAAGCGTCTTTAGCAGTGCTTATTTCATCATCATCAGCTATTAATGTCCCCACTGCTGGGGCACAGGCCTTCCCTATGGATGGAATAGGGAGATTGGGCCTTGAACCACCACGCGGGCCCAGTGCGGATTGGCGGATGCTAACGACTGCAGGCGCAGCTGGGACCAACGGCTTAACGTGCCTTCCGAGGCACGGAGGAACTCGAGATAAAAGATTTTTGGTCACCCATCCAATGATCGACCATTGTTAACTAACTTAACTTCAACGATCGCAGCCGAACGCGCTAACCACCTGCGCCATCGAGCTCCTCATGCTTATGAAACCCCTTTTGACATGAAAAAAATGTTCCTGTCGTTAGGTATGGGCAGACAAAGAAGATGAACGCTGCCACTGAATACGTTCACATGTTGAACGCTACTATGTGCGCCACAACGCGGGTCATCTGCGCCCTATTGGAAGCAAACCAAACCGAGGAAGGCGTCAAGGTAAGATTAAATAAATAAATATTTCCAACACTCACACCAATTAGCCTAGCCCCAAAGTAAGCACTGTAAGGCTTGTGTTATGGGATGCTAGGGTAACGGATAGAATACATATACTGTACATATGTAAGTATATTTATATAGAAATACATATTACACATCCATGACTGGCGTACGAATGCTCGTGTTCATCACACAAACATCTGCCCCCACCGGGATTCGAACCCGGGACCTCTCGAGTCTGCGACACCCGGCGTACAAACCACTCGGCCACGGAGGTCGTCAATTCAGTCAAGGCACACCTTTGGGTGTGAGGTGTTGTATAGCTTTACTCTAGGAAATCAAGTGAAGCCACCAACGATATTAAATACCCTAGTTGAGTGTCCGTGATGCTAGCGTACACACGATCAATATACGGTTTTTCGTTATGCTATTACATACTGCGTAAATAGTGCCAAATTAGTGTAAAAATAAGTGCCGTTCTTGGGGACGGCCATGGGTACGCTAGCTTGACGTCATGCTAGCGTACACAGTAAAAATGGCCTTTATTTCTTAAATTAAAGAGGCACTATTTTTTTTATTTTTTATAAATACACTATTACTTTTTTATTTTTTATAAGTGCTTGAGCGGAGTTCAAGCACTTCTTGATTGGGACACATTTTGAGCGCTCGTGGTGTATTGGTAATTAATATCATTGAAAGTCACTGATAGAGGAAGCGGGGGGAGGTGCAGAATGCCAACAGCGCCGCCAACACGACGAGACACACGAGTCGTAAAATAAAAAAGAAGCATAAATGTGTAACTCGATGTATATTCCCAGCAGTGCAAGTGGAGTCGTCCCATGATGGGTCTACTCGTATTTTTTCCCCAGAGGTTCAGGAACAATTTGGCCTACATTGAGGCCCCTCTTTCCCAGTGGGCACTTTGGGCCCACAAGTGCCCAGGGCCCCGCGATTGATAGGGGCCCCCTCAGATCAAATACAAAGTCCCTAGTTCCTGTTAAATCACCAAACGGGGGTCATAGGGCCCCATTATCCTAATATGCCCAGGGCCTCCAATAGGTCAAAGACGGCACTGCCTTCATTGTCGACCCGGGCCTCTGGTTTTATAACGACGTTGTTTGCTTATAAATTAATGCTGTGTGCTAAAGCTAATTCTCCCTCACTGGTAGTATCATTTCAATACAGAAGGCTAAGGTTTGCTTGTATTAATTGCAGGTTCCCGAAGCATTAAAACAATGGATGCCTGAACAATACCAAGAGTTGATTCCGTTCGTGAAACCGGCACCCATTGACGTAGAAACTGCAGCGGCCGCGAAGAAAAAAAATAAGCAGAACGAGAAGAAATAACCGCACAGTGAACACACGACGCCGAACCCATTCCCGCTAGAAGAGCATTATTTAATTTATTCTTATTTTGCTAGCATAATTTTTATATATTGAAAGAACAGATTATAAATGGGATCACTGGAGTGAATTGTTTTTTTTCTATATTAAGTTAATACTAGCTGTGCCCTGCGGCTTATTAGGGATATTTTCCCGCAGTAAAACGTAGCCATGTGATAATCCAGCTGGAGTGAATTGTTTTTTTTCTATATTAAGTTAATACTAGCTGTGCCCTGCGGTTTATTAGGGATATTTTCCCGCAGTAAAACGTAGCCATGTGATAATCCAGGGTGTCGGCTAACTCCATACCAAATTTGATTTAAATCGCTCCAGCCGTTTAGACGTGAAGAAGTAACAAACATACACTCGCAAACTTTCGCCTTATAATATTAGTGTGATTTCCTATGATCGACCAGATGCGCATGAAAACCAGTTATTTTCTCTCCCTAGTAGATAGTAAAAACTTATCAATTACATGGAAACTGGACGCCGTTCGTTGTCGGTGATGTACTAGTAATATGTATCGTATATGTATACTCTTCAAAAGAGTCTAGTAACATTAAATTTTTTGAACTTTGACACATATTTAATATTTATAATACCTAACCTATTTATACATTTTTTAAGCATCTAACTGCTACATGTTTAAATCTAAAGAAAAATTTACTAGAAAAGATTCCACGCGGACCAGGTAATTTAAAACAAGTGAACAATCTGTTATCAATGTTATCATACAGCATGCCTCTCAGGATCAATGATCTCTTTTAGTCCAACAGTTGTTCTTGTTACGAGCAGACTTCATAATTTAATGAAAATTTTACAAAAAAGATCAACACGGTCGAGGTAATAAATAAATATTTCCCACACACACCAATTAGCCTAGCCCCAAAACAACCACTGTGAAACTTGTGTTATGGGATGCTAGGGAAACAGATAGAACACAAATACTGATACATATATAAGTACTTATATTTTTATATTATATATACCACTTGGCCACGAAAGTCGTCAAACAGACCGACAAGGATTTATAAATAGAGCAGTTTTAATGCTAAAAATAACAACTTAAGGTATCTAATTACCGGTAGATAATAGTTTTTTTTATATATATATTATAACTAGCTATGCCCGCAACTTAGTTTGTCTTAATGTTGGTAGGTATATAACAAAGAAGGTTATGATTGTTATGGTAAAAACAAGAATTCGTTGTCCTTTTCTTGATAACAAAATGGCGATTACGTAAATAACATTTACGACAGACTGTGATTTTTGAGAAAAAAATGATTTTACAGTTGTACGAATGCGAAGTGTTGCCGAGCCATTTGTGTTCTTTTTAAAAAGCATTGAAGGCATTGTTTTATCTTTATTATAAAAGAATATACGCAATATTGTTATATTGAGTGTACATGCAGCATGGTTGGATGTCCAATTGCGACTACAGCTAACTGGAATCGTGCACCACTATTAAGCGAATCACTTTTGAGCCGCGAGTGCCATATCTTCCCTTATTGTTTTAATCTAAGTTTAGGCTGTACTCTTTGTAAATTTTGTTAGGTGTGAAATTGTGTGGAACGTGTAAATAAAGATTGCTGAGGTTATTAGCACGCAGAAGAGCTTCATACTTTTTTGGCAATGGAAAAAGTAACAATTAGAGCACTTAGCAGCAGTTACTTAGCCACTAAGTAACTAAGCCACTAGCGACTTGGCGATTGGTGGCTGACCGTTTACGCAACGCACGTAATGGCAGCTCTGAAAAGAAATATTTTTCCCTGTTTTCGCAACATTTTGCAATGTTGTTCCGCTCCTCTAAATTGTAACGTGATTTAATAAAGCTTTTCTCGATAAACGGATTATCAAACACAATTTTCGAATCAAACCAAATAAACAATAAAACTCTTCAGCTTTAAAATATTAATATTGAAACCATAGATGAATGATTGGTCACGCTTCACTCGACTAGATACCGCCGGCGTACTTGTCTAATGCGGCAACAAATACTATGCCGAAATCGGCATACCCGAGCTTTCACCGAGCCAGTCAACCTGACAGTTGTGTATGGGGTGTACGTAGTGAATGTTTTATTAAAACTTGGTGTTAATCGAAAGTAAAATATCAGTTTATGTAGTGAATTAATACAACAATAAATAACAAGGACGCTGGGATCACATAACATCAATAAGTATAGTAAAATTTCGAAATTTCAACATAAAATAACATGAACCCTAAACGTCATTCAGGTGTTGCCGCGTATACAAGAATCAAGTCCCTATGGTCGACATTTTTTTTATAATGTGAATTTATTGTTAGTGTATTTTATTATTGAACCTATGTTATTTAAACTTACTATTAAACTTAACCTAATTTTATATTATTCAACGTTTATCTTTGTATTGTAATCTACCTTTTATTCCTATGATATTATGTTATTATTTTTAATAACATTTTTTTCAACACATTTGCTCGTAAACTGACTCTTATTATTTACACAGTTTTTAGTTTCACAATTCAGCATATTAACTACCATACTTGTTGTGTATATTTTTAATTTCATCATATTATTATAATCAGTTTTGGGGTTAAGATGACAAATAAACAATTCATTTTTTATTATTAACACAAATTAACAGTTTGATCTGTATGTATGCATGTTTGATCATGATAATCTTAAAGCTACGGATCCGAATTGGATGGGGTTTTCGCGCATATTAATGCGCAAATACGGATTTTCTGAGAAGGTTTTAGTATATAATTTACTAGCAATGTCTCACGGTTTTACCCGTGTGGGGCTACGCTTGTACAATTTCTAACTAGTAGCGTATTCTGTGTAACACTAAAAATGGGAAAATGAAATATTTTTTTATAAAAATAAAACCGACTTAAAAAAATGGTTGCCTGTAAAGTCGGTTTTACGGGCGAAGATTTTACGTGACAACGTCTTTTTCTCGGTAGAATATTTATTGATATGAATATAATTAAATTGCACAATAGGAACAAGGAATTGAATGAAAATAAGAATTGCACAAATTTTAACTATAGAAATATATTTTGTTTACTAAAACATTGTACATGTAAACTTAAACTTAACACGAGAGACTCATCGTAACGTTACCGAGCGTTACACTTTTTCATAAGTGACTCCCAGCCGCAACCTAATTTAAGACGTTGTCACGTCAAAAATAGATTTACCGCCTGATATATTTGAAGTCGATACCAAGGTATGTGTTTAGCTGATGATGATGATAATAATAACGATCGACTTCACGGTAAATCTTAATTTACATTTTGCCGCCAGTTGATTTATGAACATATAGTAACATGACGACATTTCTAAAGCGAGGTTCTGATGGATATTGTTGGAATGTTTCCCAACACTAAATATAGTGCACAGCACTAGTTGACCAGCAGCGTCTCTCGCTGACTCTCTCTCTCTCTCCATTACCGGCCACCGTATTGTACGGACGTGCTTCCTATTATATCTAATTTAACTACTTCTGAGTAAGTCCTAGCCATAATACCAAGTTTTTCAGTGTCTGTACTTACAGTGTATTTACCTTTGTGTCTGTATGTGCATAAATATACCTTGACCGATGAACCAGTGTTTGTGTTACTTCCATTCTAATGCTACCAACCGAACATATATATTGGCCGAAAGTCAAAAGTATTGTCACCAACCGATTTTGAAAAGTTTTTGAAGGTAGCTCCGTAATGTCAAAATACTTGGCAACAAAGCTAAAGGTCAGTTGAACTTTATAACAGTTACTAACTAAAAGTTAGTTTTTTCGTCGCAATTGTATTGAAAAACGTCGTATGCAGCTCGTGTGCATTGATCATTACACACTCAGCTTCCTTACCGAGTTACAATAATGTCTCGTTCATAGGAACCAACTTATCACACTTGAATCACTGTTATGATGTACAAGTAAATTTTACATGTAAATAAAATAAATTGAGGCCTAAGCATTTTTTGAAGAAGAAATCTACGCCTATCCGTATAAGTACACTAAAATATTGATATATTCGCATTTAATTAAGTGCATCTTCTTCAAGTATTTTATGAGCTACATTTATAACCTGGTACATATTAATTATTACCTACAATATTTTCCCTATTAATTGGGTAGCAGTCGAGCAGCTGGCTACTCGATTTATGACATTTGATAGCATCATTGCAAATTGACATACACACACTACAATAATGAGTTGCCGCATTTAAGGAGCTGTTGTTTTTTGACAGCGCGGTATCTAGTCAAGTGAAGCGAGACCAATCATTTATCTATGATTGAAACAATAAACATTTTAAAAACTGTTATCATAATTATCAGCAAATTATAAACTTGACTCATCATAGTTGCATACGTAAAATTTTTCATACTATTTTTCATTTCACTCAGATGAGAACGATACCGGACGATTTATAAAAAACAAGAACAACTGAGCAAGTATTCTATCTCACTCAATCCATATTACAGGCAGAATAAGGGTAAGAACTGGGTAACAGTTCTCCAGACCACTCAATCCATCCTAGGCGATTGGGATGTCCCACCGTAGATACCTGAAGCTTTATATCAGAATTTTAATAATGAATTGTTGAATAAGTTGACACTTATAACTAGTTAATTGAATATACGAATTTTAATTACAATCATTTATTATTTTACATTTGAACGCTTAATTGGATAACATAATTTTAATTGCCTTACATCATGGCACTAGCAATTTAACAACCACTTATTTTTATGCATATTATTATTTCTCCCACAAATGTGCATTACCATTAAATCAGCGCCTATACATAATAATGCTACTACTTACTAAAAACCATAATAGGGTATTTGACAGTGTTAAAAAAAAGTGCCAACAGTTAGCATCTGTGTTTAGAATGAATGAACTATTTTTACTAAAAAAATATTCATAATTTTACTAAAAACTAACGAAACAGATAATAACTTATCTATTGTCACGTGACCCAAAAGCTTGGGATTGGAGGAGCTTTAAATGACGGCGTGTGAACACAAGTAAACTTCCAGTTAAGTGACATTACATAGTATCATTTGACGTTTTAATAACAGTCGTGACGTCACACACTAGTAAGACGCCATATTGTCCATAGAAACGTTTTCGCGTCAACTTGAAAATGGAGTTTTTGATATGGTTATTTTTACTGAAATACACAACTGAATGATGAATATCCACTTTTTACGGACTCCATAAACATTAGTCAATAACGTGAGATCGTTTTCTAAAACTTGTCAAATACCCTATTGGCAACTTAAGCATATATATTATGTAAATTTAAACATTTAGCTAAATAAAACATTATAATTACACAACTTATTTTAGCAAATTATAAACAATATAAAGAACTTTATTAGGCTGGATTACCAAGTTGGATATTTTCTAGTAAAAATTGCTTTACATACAATAATCTAGCTGTTTAAATGCTTATAAATAAATAAAAAATAGTCAACCTCATCAATTTTGAAATAGAAAAACAAATTTAAGTTCTGCTTTATTGTGTGAATATTTGTGATAACTTTTCATACTTTATGACATAAAATAATAATCATTGTGTTTCTTAAGACCAAAAACAAAATTATAAATTTAATCATCATAGTGATTGTGAGGGTATTTATACATATTATTTAAAAAAATCGCTACATAAAAAAATCTGACACAACACATATTCTCAGATAAGGTTTTAAATACATCATTATTCATTAATAAATAAGCTCTGCCCACATGCATTTAATATAGGACAGATAGACTAAAGTATAACATATACAAGGTGTATTATTAAAATGTCTATTGTTGATTAAATCATTTAAACCAATGAGAACAGCTAAAGAAAAGCAAGACTCAAATTAAAGTGTCACTCTTTATGACAAGGAAAATTAATATTTAAATATCCCAGTTTTAAACATCTTTTTCCATTTATGTTTGCCACAGTTGCTGGATTACTAGCATGCCAGCTGAGCTTTCTGCCTGCATTTGTGCATCAAAGCACGCAGAGTGAACTGCTTGCGAGCCAGTGTACGCACTTGTTTTAAAAATGTATCTAGATCAATAACTTCTTTACGTAGAGCTTCACCCATGTAATATATAGCATCTTCCAATGTTGCTTCTTCAGCAAAAGCATTTAGTAGTTGAGAGTACAATGGTGCAGTAGTTACAACTGCCTCATCTACATCTATTCCTTCTTGTTCTGCCAAACGTTCTACTGAAGCTTGAAGTTCTTTCTCCTTTTCTTGCAGAATAATTACATTTTTATCTAACTCAGATCTTTCCCTATCCAGCCTTGCCAAAATATCTTCAAGTCTTGATTTGCCATCCCTGAGTTCCTGCTGTGTCCGACGCAACGTTTCTAGTTCCGCTTGCGATTGCTGAGACTGTTCATTGAGTCGCCTCCTCATCTTGTCTATGACAGCTGATAGCAGAGAAGCTTTAATATGTTCTTCAGTTATTGTGCCACCAGATACATTTTGTTCTGCAGGTCGATTAAAATTTGGAGGGCCTGGTGATGTAGTGGGACCTGGAAGAGGATATGGAGTACCATTGGTGCTAACAGAACCAGGATAGGGTGCGCCAAAGCTAGGGTACGGTACATTTGAGGGAGTTGGAAATGATGCAAAATTGGGATATCCTGGTTGAGACACTTGAGGATATGGATAACCAGAAGGCTGTGGCATAAACGAACTCACGGGATATGGCGGTCTACTTTCATTTCGCGGCTTCGAATACACTGGTGGTATTTCTCCAAACGCAGTTATCATGCAAAGAATAAGTTTCTGCAGTGTAGAGCCATTGGAATTCCATTCGTGCAAATATGGTAAATACACCTTCCCATTACTATCTACGTACTTCGAAACTTTGATCGACATATCTGGTGTAGGTTTAACGAAACACAAAGGGGCGTTCTGTGGATGAGTATCCATGAGCCAGATACAGACGGGGATATTATAAAAAACTCCTTTGTAATTAACTGGGATCGTTCCTTCAAGGTGGAGCAAATCTTTCCGAACTCCATTGTTGAACACAAAAGCTTCCAAACGATAAGCCAAACTCTTGTACACTTGAATCAAATTCATCACTTCCTTCGAGGTGTAATCACGATGTTTGTACTTAGATAAGTACTGCTTCAGTACTATTTCATCATTAACCATTATGAAAACTCAACGAACAACACAACGGTTAAAAGCCTAAAGTTATTATTTTAAAGATTAGAAAAATTACACAGAAACTACGATTAGGAAAGGAAGAATGAGTAAAATTATAATAACATGACAGAATCAATTGACATAAAAACACACCACAGACTAAGACTAACTGAAGATATGAAAAACAGACAACATAAAGTCTTTGCACACAACCACCCAGTGTTGCCAACTACTAGCATTACCCAGTTGCTAGACATCTTAAAAATGTTGCTAGATTGTCAGTTTTATTACCCCAAAAAGTTGCTAGTAGTAGTTAAACCTTCCAGTAGGTAAAAAAGATACTATATTACAAGAATGGGATATCAACACTGACCCTATTTGCATAAAAATGAGTTTGAGACCTTTATTTTAAAAAGAAAAAGTTAAACTAAACTTATCATACTAGTTTTTCCCGTCGAAAAAGTCTACTTTCAACAAAACGAGTTTTAAATTCACGTACCCGTTTGGAACTCTACTTTCTGTCTAAGTTTTTTGTCCCAGTATATTTCTTTATGACAAATAGTTTAGAAAGAATTTTCGTAGAACAATTAGTACAAAACGCTTTGCTTGAGTCTCCACTTGCTGCTTTTAACCAACTTATCTGTAGATCTGTACGTATGTTTCTTTTCTCAAGGGAAAATCCATTTTCACATTAAATTAAAACAGCGAGCATAAGTTTTATATGGATAAAACAAAAAACGCTGGGTAGAATACGAGTGGTGCGTACTACTTTAGTTTAGTAAACGACAAAGGCCGACCTACGTCCGATACCCTAAGAGCAGCCATTGTGAAAATTGATTAAAATTCACGATCGCAGAACGAACGCGTTACACTTGCGCTATTGTGGTCTTTCGTAGGTAATGTATACGTATATCTTGTATAAAATACTAAATAATTTAAGGTGAAATCTTTTTTAACATAAATAAAAAATCACTTCATATAAAAAACAAGTTAAAAAGTAAGAAATCTATGTACTAATTCTTTAATTAGTTCCTACTTATATCTATAAAGTACAAATAATAACAAAATAATAGAAATGGTGTCAGTGATATGCATTTGAATCACCAATTCCAATCCAAATGTTATTTTGACTTTAAATGTACGTACTTTAGACTTTATTGTATTATTTGTTCCTTTGTAAAAACAAAGGTGTGTTTGCTTTTGTTTTTATGAAGCAGTTTTTAATATTTGTTAGAAATGTTTTTATTTCCTGCTTTTTATAAGCTAATCATATTTCTTAAAATAACCAAACACGAAATAAGTACCTAGTATTTGTAATTGAAAAGTTTGTTTCTATATATCCGAAACTTGGCATCTTCACCAAATGAATAATTGGGATTTGGAACCATCTCGCCTAAAACATAGAAACAAAAAAGATAAGGTTATGACGTCGACGCACACTGGACCAAGATTCGGAAATCGTGGACTTAGGGATCAAAGTTGAGCTATCGCAATGATTTTTTTTTTACGGACAGCTTAAAACAATAGCAGAAACTTTTGTTCTAGCACTTATGCTAAAAAGAACTTTTTCATACTAAAAAAAAATATTGTTTTTTTTCTTGTATGGAAAAAAAGTAACTATAGTGTTTTTTTTTAAATGGTAAAGAGTATCAAAAAAGCTGCTAGTAGGTGTTATAGTGCTTACAATTATTGACAATTTTTGCCTTGACGTCATATCCATAAGTCTGCAGCTTTGGCGTCCACAGGCCTTGGAAGTTTCCATACAAAATGTATGGGATTTTTTAAGTAGTTGAGGGTAAATTTAGCATCTATGTGATTCGAAACAGAAAATAAACTACCAATAATAATGTTTGATACTTAATACAAAGACGTAAACTTAAAATAAAAAACTCACTATTCGATTTTTTTTGTATAGAGAATTATTTGATATACTTGTCTTCCATTGACACAAACGTTAGAAAAAATGACTAATAGGTTAAAATGTGATTATAGCGTGTGCGTAATATTGTCTGACGTCACAAACCTAAATCTACCGCTTTGGTTTCTTCAGCTCAAGGATGTTAAGTGAGCGACGAACGGGAGCGAAATGACTGGCGCAGACAGACCCACCTGTATTTATAACACGTATGCGGGTCTCATACTATGCTGTCAGTACACCGATTGTGTGTCAGTTATTAGCGTGCGCGCATTAACCTCTACCTTGCTCTCTGTCTTCTCTATCCCCTATAATTATATGCTGGCCTACAAACTATGTGTGTGTCACATTGTGAAACATGGACTATTTATGTTAGCTCTGAAAAGAGCTTTTTTAGGGCTTTGAAAAAAGCCGTTTGATGTATAATGGCGATGATCAAGCCAAGGGATCTGCCATTACTGGAGCTTCTGAAGCAACTACTTCTACTTCATCAATCTCGATTTCTTTTTCTGCCGGAAGTTCTAGGAGATCAATAGCTTCTTGGAATAAAGCCATCTTCTTGGACTTTCCATATTTTGGCCTGATATGAGATATATAAGGATCTGACGTAATCAAAAAATTATTCAGTATGTCTTCATTATTTAGGATTCTCCCCATCTTGCGAGTGTGATGTTCTCTGGTATTTCTAAACTCCTTGTTCCTAGCTTCCGATGCTTCTTCTGACATTATTCCTATGGGAAGACAAGAGAAATGTTGGCAAATGTCTGCCCCATGTATGAGCAGCTTGTGTATGCTTACTGGCATATTGTACCACGGATAATGGTGTACAAAAAGCTCAGCTGTCTCTTTGCAATATTCCCGGAATCTCTCAATTTTGATGGCGTTTCCGGAGGATATCACTTGCAAGATAACAGCAAAGCGCTTGATCAGATTTTCATCTATTTTTGTTATCCGTGCGCTGCTTTCGTATTCCTTGAAGAATCGCCTGGCAGTGTTGCCATCGTTGGTGGTTCCGAAACCCTGTTTCACGATGTCTACCAACAGTCCTGTTTCTTCCCTGAATTGTTGTTGTGTACAGTGCTTCCTGGCTTTTTTGAGCTCTTTATTATCGCCTCTTGCACACCACATTTTAAAATCCAAATTGTACGATACGTGCAATAGACACTCCATACTTCGGATCCACATATGGAGAGAGGACAGTCCATACTGGTACACCTCAGTTCGCACTGGTCTTGAAATAACTTCACAGAGGTTATTCATCTCACTTGGCTTCGCAAGACATATATTACAGGTAGCTGCAGATGGAGTATCTGTTATGATTGTGGATATCTTTCCATCAATCATCGTCATGTGCAAGTCATGGGAAATCTGGTAATCCTTGTATCTTGTCACATTAAGCTTTCGGGTTTCTTCTTCCATACCTGATAACTCTTGTTTGACAAAGTCTTTGGTTTCCTTTGCAAACAGAAACTTCACCGGTCTACAGTAAAATGTGGAAGAAGGATTGGGATTCTCCCACACTATTATATTGCCAGACTCTAGCTTCAACGGGACCAGGCTAGTCATAAATACCGATGAATCATCGAAATCAGGCAATCCACTTCGCTGTTTGTAATTACTTTGTGATGAGGATCCGTCGAAACCCCATTTGCTGGTCATCTTCATTTCACTTGTTGGTAGAACAACAGGACCAACAACTTGCATTATCCTTCGTGCAGTCAAATCCAGCAACGCTTGTAGCTTTACTCTTGCACCAATTTCTGTAACCTCGATATCAGATTTATCTGGATAGCAATTCATTTTGGCATTGAGTATTTTGTGGTATGAAGGAAGCTGCGCAGTTCCCTCGATATCAGTCAAACAAGTCCTCAGCGTCAGGTACTTCCATTTTGACAAATCCAGTGAAGTAGCAAGGGCTAGAGCATGATCTTCGTGCATAATATCTCTCTCCTTTTTGTCAAACAAATACGATTTGACTTCATTAACTCGGTCAGGGTTCTTCAAGAGATGCTCAATCACTTGGGCAACATCATTTTTTCCGTTTGTCTTAAGTAGTGTGACCAAAGCAAACGACAACTCATCTTCGGAAAAATCTTTAAGCCCATCTGATCGTCTTTTCTTTTGTTTGTTTCCCAGCTCTTCAAAGGGTTTTCTTGGTATAACCGTAGTAGAGGTGGCCACATCCATCGTACAAGATGTTGACGGAAGGTCATCGTAATCAATGTTTTCTGGTACTTGATTTTCTTCTTCCGTGTCATCTTGAAATATCTCTGCGAGATCAAGGTTATCGCATACAGGCCACTTGATTTTTTGCTCCAGCCAATCCATATTTTTGTTCATAAACGTCTTTTGGATTCTGGATGCCGTTGTCCATCGTCGATACAAATTCATAGTGAAGATTTTACAGAACTTCAATATCTTTCCGCAATCTGTCTCAGTGACATCAGTTGCGATGCAAGACAAAATGCCTTGATGGAGCCTCTTGTAATTTCTAAGGCCTTCGCCTTCGCTTTCGCGTAGAAATACATAGAAGTCCAAGTAAGTCACAAATCGAGACATGATACAGTATTAGTATATCAGTAAATTAAATTGTTCAGATCGGTTCGAGCAGCGTTTCCGCGTCCCAAAAGCCTTTCCTACTGGGTGGTGAGTTCGTGGTCTTCTGTTTCCACAGGTTCGGGCTCGAAGCTTGGCTTCCTTTCCCGGGCTGCATCTCGCGGGGGTGCGCCCCCGCGGGGTTGGGCGCCGCTGGTCAGCGGCCGTCTGGTGACGTTTTCTTTTCTGGTTCTGCTCTCGCCAGGAGCTTGCTACGCGGCCCTCAGCGCGGTCTGCCGAGCCGGGTGAGACCCCCTGGGGGGAGGCCCAGCTAGCGCCAGCGAGCAGGCCGCGATTTAAGCAAGTGGGGAGCAGAATTGTTGTTGGGGTTGGGGGTGTGGGGGAGGCCGGATTTGGGTAGGGTAGGTTGTGGGAGACGGCGAGAGCAGGCTGCGAGTTGGTGGTCGCGGTGCTGTTTTTGGTTCTCGCCTTCTGGAGTCTGTGGACAAACAGAATTAAAAACACGGCAAATTTGGTAAGAGGTATCGATGGGCTCCGGTGGGCTATTCTGAGCTGATTGGGTTGGCGGCCCCCTGGAGCAGCCAGGTCAGGGCACTCAGAATGGCCTGAGTAGGATTTGCTCCCCTGCTGATATCTTCTAGCAGGCGGTAGAGGATGGATAGTACCGCCTGCATTGGAAGCTGGGGGAGAGATGTGGGTTGGGGGTAGAGTTGGGGGTGCACCCTGGGGGGCGGAATAGTGGATGCCTCCTGGGGAGGCCTCTGGTACATTGGAGGTGGAGGGGGGTGGAATGCCGGTCTTGGGGCCGGCCTGGTTTGGCGGACCACTTGGGGTCGAAAAGACTGGAGCTGGGGTTGGGGGCCTCTGGGCCGTGGTGTCGGAAGCTGGGAAGAATCCAACGCTGGCGGAGGGGGAGGTCCCATCCTTTGGGTGGCCGCCCTCACTGGGCGGAATGAAGCAGCTGGGGCTGAGGTGGACAGCGGGCCTCCCCCTGGGGGAAAACCCGGCGGAACATCGGGAGCAGCAAGTGGGAGGGTGGTCGGGGCAGGGGCAACGTGCGCTTCTTCTGCCGCTTGTGGCCTCCTCCTTCTTCTTCGTCGCCTTTTTTTAATGGAGACGGGCGCTCCTCTGGGGGTGGGCGGGTTGGCAGGGGCGGCCAAGGTTGGTCCTTCTTGGGTGTCCAACAAGTTGACTGGTGGGGGCTGCTGCGGGACGCTGGCTAACGTCTGGCGACGCTGTTGCGGCACTCCTCCTGGGAATGGGGGTTGGATCCTTTGATTCAGGCGGCATCAGAGCGTGGGCAGTCGAAGGCGGAGTGGTCCCCTGCACATCTCACGCATTTTTTGGGGCGGTGGCAATTGAGGGAGCTGTGGCCGAAGGCTTGGCAACGGTGGCATTGGGCTGGTCCGGCTCTTGGCTTCCAGCCTTCGATAGTAACCCCTGGCATTCCCAGGAGTTCGTCCGTGGCGTAGAGGCGCGCGAGCTCGTCCCTTGAAAGGTGATCGAGCTGGACATGGAATATACATCCCGGGCGGCCTCTCTTCCCTCGGATACTTCTAACGAAAGTCACTGGAAAGCCCCTTTCTTCCAGTGCCTCCGTGATGGCCAGGGGGTTGGTGTCCGCCGGGATGCCTCGGATGGCTACCTTGGTGGGAAGGTCTTCTTGGGGAGCGTAGCAATACCACACTATCTCTGTATTATCTGCTGAGGCTTCCACCAAATACCTCTGTGTGGCCCTAAACTCCTCCTCGCTTTTTGGCGAGAAGCGTACGCCCGTGTTGAAGGGGCGCGCGTTTGGGGTGTGTCCGAGGATGTCTCTGATCTTCTTCAGGTGGAGCGGCCAGTTCGGCAGTCTCTCCACTATAATAGGCGGGTACCCTCTTACGGTGGGTCTTGCGGTGGCTGGTGGGGTATGGGGGGAGAGAGGAGGCGTCGCACGGGTCGTTGCGGCCTGGGCGTAGGACCTCGCGTGCGCGCCATCACTCTCCTCGAACGGCTGCACCTGGCAGTAAATGGTACTGGCCGTGTTGTCGAATTGGGGTGGGAGAGGGCTGCTAGGCCCTTCCATCCCACCGGCGGATTCTTGCTCCGATTCCGATTCGGACTCGGAGTCTGCGGATGAAGAAGAGTAGGAGGTTGATCGCCTCTGTGGAGGCGGGACGTACGTCCCGCTGGTACTGGGAGCGGGCGCGGCAGCCCGCTGTGGTGGTGATGGGCCGTGCTTGGGGCGTTTTTCATCGCCTCCAGCGGCCTCGTCGTCTTCCAGTTGGCGTCTTCTGGGGTCTCGAGGGTGAGCGGTGGCCGGGGCAAGACAGGGGCGGCGCTGGTCATCAGCACCTTCCATGTTGGCCGGGGCTGCGCTCGGCTTTGGAGTGCTCGCCTCCATTCTGAGGGACTGGCGAGCAGGGGGTGGCACGGTCTGAACCGATCGGGGGGCAGGACGTGGACGTGGGTCCGGAGGCTTCCTTTGTGGAAGCGGTTTCGGTGGCATTTTTTATAAAAAAAAATGTCACAGTCCGGTGGGTAGTAAGGAAAAAAGTAATGTGGGTAAAAGTGAAATAGTTATGGGGGACAAGGACAGAAAAAGAAAAAAAGAAAAAGGTGGGAGGGTAGATTTGAAAAAAGTGGAATGGAGGGTGGGAACGAAAACACTAAGGGAACACTTGTAGTTTTTAAACAGTAAAAACACAAGTGATCGACGAACACGTAACAAAGACACTACACAACACTTAGGCGTCAATATCGCAACACAGAAAACACACTTTGTTAGGTGGTCGTAGGGCGACCTCACACGCGAACGCGGAGGAGGGTAGTTTCGGTTCTACACTCGGCACAGTGGGGCAGGCGGGCTCAACGACGAGCGGAGTCACACGACCTACCACGAACGCGACACGAGGAGAACTGAAACACATACACCGTGCGGCTCTTCGAAACAAACAAAAAAAAAAAAAAAAAAAAAAAAAAAAAAAAAAAAAAAAAAAAAAAAAAATGAGTAATGATGCGCACCTCTTTTGTATCTTTTTCCCCAACTGAATTGGAAGGGTGGGGATGAGGTCTGGCTTATCACTAAGTGTGTTTTGGTATGCGCGCACGCTATTGGCTGACACACAGGAGAACTGAAACACATACACCGTGCGGCTCTTCGAAACAAACAAAAAAAAAAAAAAAAAAAAAAAAAAAAACAAAAAAAAATGAGTAATGATGCGCACCTCTTTTGTATCTTTTTCCCCAACTGAATTGGAAGGGTGGGGATGAGGTCTGGCTTATCACTAAGTGTGTTTTGGTATGCGCGCACGCTATTGGCTGACACACGTTCGCTGTGCTGACCGCATAGTATGAGACCCGCATACGTGTTATAAATATAGGTGGTTCTGTCTGCGACAATCATTTCGCTCCCGTTCGCCGCTCACTCAACATCCTCTAACGGGGGGCCAGAGAAGACCTCGACGCGCGCGCGACAGTCATTTCACTCCCGTTTGCCGCTCAGTCAACATCCTTGAGCTGAAGAATCCAAAGCAGTAGATTTACCTTTGTGACGAATTGAAAATTGATCATCGCCATTATGCATCAAACGGCTTTTTTCAAAGCCCTACAAAAAGTTCTTTTCAGAACTAACATATACTCTTTGTTTCACAATGTGACACACACATAGTTTGTAGGCCAGCATATAATTATAGGGGATAGAGAAGACAGAGAGCAAGGTAGAGGTTAATGCGCGCACGCTATTAACTGACACACAATCGGTGTACTGACAGCATAGTAAGAGACCCGCATACGTGTTATAAATATAGGTGGGTCTGTCTGCGCCAGTCATTTCGCTCCCGTTCGTCGCTCACTTAACATCCTTGAGCTGAAGAAACCAAAGCGGTAGATTTAGGTTTGTGACGTCAGACAATATTACGCACACGCTATAATCACATTTTAACCTATTAGTCATTTTTTCTAACGTTTGTGTCAATGGAAGACAAGTATATCAAATAATTCTCTATACAAAAAAAATCGAATAGTGAGTTTTTTATTTTAAGTTTACGTCTTTGTATTAAGTATCAAACATTATTATTGGTAGTTTATTTTCTGTTTCGAATCACATAGATGCTAAATTTACCCTCAACTACTTAAAAAATCCCATACATTTTGTATGGAAACTTCCAAGGCCTGTGGACGCCAAAGCTGCAGACTTATGGATATGACGTCAAGGCAAAAATTGTCAATAATTGTAAGCACTATAACACCTACTAGCAGCTTTTTTGATACTCTTTACCATTTTAAAAAAAAACACTATAGTTACTTTTTTTCCATACAAGAAAAAAAACAATATTTTTTTTAGTATGAAAAAGTTCTTTTTAGCATAAGTGCTAGAACAAAAGTTTCCGCTATTGTTTTAAGCTGTCCGTAAAAAAAAATCATTGCGATAGCTCAACTTTGATCCCTAAGTCCACGATTTCCGAATCTTGGTCCAGTGTGCGACGGTAGTAAACAAAAACTCGTAAGCACGTAGAAAATAACCTATCTGAGTTTATAATAAAAAAAAACATGATTTCTAATAAATACCACGAAAAACATAGTAATTATCATTATTGTATTGTACGAGAATGTAAAAACACATCCTCGAAGACTCCAGGAAAGTTGTGGATTAAAGTGCCGAAAGAAATTAACCTACGCAATACCTGGTTAGAATTTGCTAAAAGTGATCCTGCAACATTATCGACTCATAGTAAAATTTATTTTTGCGAAGATCACTTTGATGTAAGTACTCATTGAATAATATTTTAAGTTTAAATATATTATCAGTTTTAATAATACAAGTTTTAAAGTTATGTATGAATGACATTTAGTTGTTTACTACCAAAGAGACGTCACAATCATGGCGGACGTGGCGAACAGCGTTTTTAATGTTTAAAAAGTATGGACTAAAGATTATTTTTTTAAATTAAATTTCTACAGCAAACTTCTGCTTTTATGATGGGAAATCGATATATTTAGGCTCCTTAGACCAAATATTTTAAGAAATAAACATTTATTTAATAAAATTCGACATGAGTCAACTAGCCTATTCCGATAACCGAGCAACAAATGAAACAACGCTCAGAAAAACCTTGGTCCCGCCTTGGCTCGGCCACGGCTCGTTGCATGAATACAGAGCCGGCGCGGTGCTGCCGGGCAATCGTGGTGATACCTCAGACAAAACAAAAAACGTTTTTGCTCGGACGAGTACACTTACCCTATTAACTTTATCTGGATGATTAGACTGCATCACGGCGCAACAGTACCTACCTAATTGCTCGGTCGCGGCACGTCTTTGAAAATTACAGGGACGGGATTGGCTCGGTGACCGTGCTACAGCTGAAGCTCGGCTCGGACTCGACACGGTCTTTCGTCACTCCTTAATAGAATTGTATAGTAACAAAATCTAATTGGTACCTATATTAAAATTTAATTTTAAAAGTGGTAGCTTTCCCTATAATTTTTGCCAAAAAAAATATACAGGCATGCTCTAAGAAAAAAATATGATTCCTAAAGTTCCCCCCGCAGATATTATTTCTCCAAGTTCATATTTTTCCCCAAAATAAGGATAAACACTCCCAATCTAGAAACCCTGAGTACCACAGAGTAGGCAAGTATTCACTCTTTAATATTGATTCATAATTTCTCATAAGTAAAATTTAACTTATGTTAAGTTTCCATATTTCAAAGATGATGGAGAACATCGAAGAATTACTGGAATAGGTCAAAATCACTGAATATTAAGTAATTATAGGTAATTTGAGTAAACCGATAATTACCGGTTCAATGTTTTTACATATTCTGTGAATTAAATTTAGATGCTCGTTTTGATTCCTGGGACCCATGATTTTAAAGGTCACATTGAAATATTAACT